CAATTTTTTGTGCTATGAAATAAAGATTTTAAAGTCAATCTCTTCGTCAGTAATCTTAATAACAACCTTCAAATATCTTATAAGTAATAATATAAAAAAAGCATCTAGAGGACGAGGAAAATGGAGCTACAGAAATGCATTAACAGTTCTTGCCCACCTCATTAAAAACTAATTATCGTCTCTAGATAATTAACCAAAGAATAAATAAAATATTTTCTGTTGATATTATTGTTCATAACGATTCATTTATTTCTTTACTCATTGAACTTAGCCGCTCTATAACTAAAAATATGAAAGAAGGTGTCATGACACATTTTTTTAAAAATTATTTTTTGATATCAACCTAATACATATTGAAAATTTTCTGAATAAAACTATAAAATATACTGAGGAGGGGAGTGATACTTCTAGGCTCTTCCTCGGAAATACCTTTTTTGGGCACTTTATATATAAAAATTCTGGATTCTTAAAAACCATTAAATAATATTTTAATTAATTGTATAAATTATTTTTTTAATCATAATATCTTAGAGAGCAACTTAAAAAATTGCTAAAGAAACATTTTCATAAGATTAATAAAAACATAATAAATAAATTCATAACATAATAAAAATATTAGAATAGTATAACTTTTAAAAAAAGCTATTTAGTATGTTTGATTACTGTATTGATTAAACAATAAAAAAATATTTTTTAAATATCAAGTTTAAGAATAAAAACATTTTTTTACGTTAAAATATTATATTATTTTTAAATGAAGTTAAAACTTATGTTGACTTCAATATTATTTAAACTATGACATGCAACTCACAAAAAGTATCATTTATGATGTATTTGAACATGTGTATGTGACATGAATGTATACATAAATTTAAACTTATTCTTACTATAATTGTGAATTAAACATTGACTTGTAACTATTACGATTCATACTTATGTTGAATTATAATAATAATTTACTACGTTCATATGGAAACATTGTTTCATATTATGAATTTTTAACTATTGAAAACACGAGAAAATAAAACTGAAATGTAATAAATAACTAGTTTTATTGACATAAATAAGCACATATAATTTTTTACAGCTTTTAAAAACTTATTTTTGAACTGATTGGCATGATTATTTTCTAATAGTAAGAAATAAAATTTTATTAAAGAAATTTAAAATTTTTATATGTGAAGGTCAAGTTTTATTCTTAATATTAAGATCAATTTTTTTGGTTTTTTTTTTTACTGAATGGATATTTTTATTGCTTTTTATAACCTTTCTTAAGTAAATTTTGCAAGTTAAAAAAACATAAAATCGGATATTAGTTTTATACATAATGAGTCGATCTACATAGTAGGTTATTTTGATTAAACAACCTAACGCTAATGTTTAAGAGATGTTTTCTTTATCTATAAATAAGGACATAGAGAGTTTGTAGGACAAAGGTACAAGATTCAAACAAAAAAACAAAACAAACATTGTGAACCATCAGGGTGTGAACGAATTTTGGACATGTGTAGTAAGTTGTTGCGATGGAAAATAGTCTAATGCTATGAAAAAAGTACATTCAAATTAGTAATTTAAGGTGGACATAGACTAATGTACAAACCGTATATCGATTAAAATGATCACACGTCAACTATAGTTGACATAATCTATGATTACAAAGTTATATTAAGACTTACACGGTAATTAACAGAATTATTATTCGTGTAATTAAAAAATATGTTAAATTTTTTTAAAGTCATAAATCACTAAAAGAACTACATTATTTTCATTAAAATATAGATTTATAAAAATGCCGCGATCGTTTTAGAACAAAAATAATAGTGATTTGTAAAATTTTATCAGTAATTATATTAAAATTGAAGTAATTTAAATAATGTAATAACTAAAAAAATATAATTAAGTCAGAACCCTGTATGGTAGAATCGAGACAAAAACCTTTTAGACTATGTACAGTAAATGATATAATTATAATGTCAATCCGTGATTCAACTATGATGCCAACATCAGAAAATAATTGAAACTTTTTACAAAAAAAATGTCTCTATGGGTTCATCCAATGCAAATGATTTAAGATACCAATACCTATAGCCTGAAAGCTAACAGTGACTAAAATGACTCTCTGACGTAGAATATTTCTAATGCGAATATGAACGAAGTTTATCTTTTCAAACCTTTTTTTAAGACGAGTTTTATTTTTCAATCGGCGGAAAGTCCCCTTTAAACACAAAATTAAAACATAATAATAAAAAACAGTAGCACAGTGGAGTCTTTGATGTGGTATTGTAGTGAATCAAAAAAAGAAGAATAATATAATTTTATACTTTATTGTATTAATAATATAATAATTAGGGGGTTATTAATTTAGGGAGCTACTTTGACAGTTGCTCAAAAGAAATAAGTTAAATAGAATATGACGGGATTTTGATTCTTATTTGATCCACTACTTTATTTTATTAATAATATTATTACTCGGGGTATGAGTACGAGGGTCTGTAAGAAAGATAGAAGATGATAGAAAAATAAAGTGATCCTTTTTTTTATTAATATGGGATTTATTATAATTAATTGTCAATTCTTAAATATCAATAATGCCACGAGTTTTGACGGTTATCGATGATAGGTGGGATTGAGTCACCTCGTGTGTCTACCCAGAGTGGTATGGTGGCTATACATATGAACCTCTAACCTATCTCCTGAAATAGACACGTATCAACGATATAACTCTGCCAAGTAACTCTGTACAAACATTATCGATTTATTAAATTTACTTGGTATATTTATTATTATTGATAATCACTTGATTTTCCTGTATGCCTACTTAATCTATGTACTCATAATATTTAATTCTAAACCTTATTTATTTTTGGTGAATTTATTAGATTCCTACCTTGATATTTTCTGCTATACTCTTAAATAAATAGATGTTGTATTTTGTGAACAAATATAACTGTGTTGACGGCGGATCACTTCTTGCATATATTTCGTAGTGTGGAATGATCGAGCGTAGTGAGTGCCTCTTTGAATATCTCTCAGAATGCTCTTTATTTTTGGCTTTTTATATTAAATTTGACCGCAGTTCAAAGGCAAGAAGTAATCCCCGACGCCACCGTTATTTCATTATTAATCGTAATTTATTACATGTTATTTATTACATTTTCATCAATAATGATCTACATATTATCAAATACTATTATATCTTACATAATAAATTAGACATAGTTTATTACCCTTCATCTTATGTGCTACCATTACATATTGTTTATTATTTCCTATTTGTTTTATATAATTAATATATGCTTTTTTCTACGAAATTTCATTAGTATATTTAAACATTTAAAAGGTACATCTATATATCTTATTTTTATTGGTATACATTTTATTTTGTGTAATTGATTGATTGAAGTCTTAAATACTACATTATGNTATTTCATTTTGTGTAATTGATTGATTGAAGTCTTAAATACTACATATGACATTAATGATCTAATGTATATACAAATAATTTATTATGATATTAATGATGTACTATGTATATCATTACAGTATAGTTGGGACAAGTATACAGGGTGTTCAGTTTCCTGACTTACTGAACACTCCGTATATGATAACTGACAGTGATTAAAATCACTACCAAAGAAACGCTTCGATGCAAATATGTAGATAATGTTTAGTTTTAAGAAATTGGTGGATTATTCCAAAAGCAAAATTTACTTCTATTTTTTTGACTGCCCATTCGCACATAGAAGATAGGTCGCCGGGACAATTTTTTTTTAAATTTATAATACGTAATATAAGCTTTAATTTGACATATGTTTAAAGAACACAGTATTTCCGGAACATTTTTAAAACTTAAGTTGAAAAAGTTGAGTTTTGTAAAAAGTTGCTACTTTGAATTCTCTCTTGTGGGCAGGTTTAGTGTCAGATTTTCAAAAACATTTCATTAACTAAAAGGGAATTACTTAAGGTTTCAATATAAAAAAAAGTATTTTAATTTGGTAATTTTTAAATAATTTAGAAAAAAAGTGAAAAAAAATCTACAAAATTAGCGATTTTAAAAATCGTAGTTTTTTGGGGGATTTCCATCATTTACGGGGAACGGGGGAAAAATGTTCAATTTTTGAGAATAATGTCTCTAACTAGATATGATTTGTAATATTTTGATGTATGGTTGTTTGAAATCGGTTCAGTGAGAGCTAAGAAAAAGTGGTGACAGATATAAAAAAAACACATCATAAAATTAATACCTTCTCAGATTCGCATCAAAGCTATAAAATATAAATACAAAGTGTTCAGTAAGTATGGAAACAGGATCAATTGTTACAAACAATGAGAACAATAGAAACCAGTTTCCTTATACACTGAACACTTTATGTATATATTATAGTTTTTATTTAAAACATTTTTTTTTCCAAAAAAAAAATTTTACTACACTTATATATTAAATTTTTTAAATTTCATAAAATAATAAAAAAAATTTATTATTTTACTAAAAAAAAAAAAAATTAAATAATCATTAAATACAAAATGACTAATCTAGAAGTAAAGGAATATATCATCCAGACTTGGAATTTTACATTTGTGAATAAAACAATATTTTTGAATGTGAAAATATCATATCATACTTAAAAAAATAACTGTTAGAAAATAATTTTGCAAAAATAAATCAAAGTAAAATAGTAAGATAAACAATATATAACTAATTATTGTAATTTGATAATTACAATAAATAATATATTATTGATTAAATGGAATCTTTGGACTTATTCACAGAAATATTTCAAAGAATTTCACTTGGATTGAGTTTAACGTGCTTGTAAAATTTAAAACATCATAGTAATAATATAATTAAACTCTGGTTTGTGTTTTTATAAACATTTTATGAGCCATTTCTAAAATACCAGTGAGTCTGTTTTTAAGTAGTCTGTTCACGAACGTATACATTCAGATTTCATTTTATATACGTTTATATGGCGAACATTGTTCATAAACACTTCGTTGGCGATCGGAACGTACGAAATATCAAATGGACGACCGGTTAGAACAACAGAATACGTTCGATCACAACTGATATTTGGTACCATTCGATAGCGAACGATCGGTCATTTGTAACAATAGAAAGGTTTGGCTATTATACTTATCTTTTATATAAACATATTTAAACGATATCAACCACTAGTTGATCATTAAATTTCATTATTAAAACTTGTTAGGTATAATTTATATTTTATGTTATTATAGTTAATAAGACTTAATTCTATATTCATATTTATTTTGTAAAACATTAAATTTATAATTGACTTTCATGGTACTCTGATACAAAATTCAAGTTCTAATACAGCTAACCTATTTAAAAAGCTATATTTTTAATAATTTAATAATTAATTAAAATTATATTTTAAATGCTGACTGAATATAAATATTATATATTTATAAAAATATTTTTTATTCTATGCAAAAAATAAATATTAATTGCATGCAAAATATTTATTTATTAAATTCAGAATGCATTTATAACTGCATGATTAATTAATTTATAAAATTAATTATAGTAAATTCGAATGCATATAAAACTATGTTAATCTTTCTTAAATAAATGCATACGTACGCACATTTAATTATTTTGATTAATCATATAATATCTAGTAATTAAAAATAAATCCTTTAATATTAAAAATCAAGTTGTATAAATTTAAAATTCAAAATATTTATTTTTATTATTAAAATAAATTGTAAACAATTGTAGAACATAAACGTTGATGTAAATATAAAATATTGATCATATACCTAATAGAACAATAAAATCTATTTGACGAACTTTGACGTTAAAGGAACAACAGAATTTTGATTATATACCTAAAAAAACAATAGAATTCGTTTGACGAACGTATACGGTCAAAAATAGGCCCCAGGCTCATCTATATTAATTAGTGTTACATAGAGTAGCAAATAAATAGTTGTAGGAAGGAAATCCGTTCCCAAATCTTTCATAACTTATTAATTCAAAATATATTAAATGAAATCAGTGTATTTGGATAAATTAAAACAAATGTTTCTGGTGACTCTACAGTGTTATTCATTTAGTACCTACCTCTAATTTTTTCGTTAAATAATTATTTTACATAATTATATACTCAATAAAATGTTATTTATTTTTATAAATTATGATCATAAAGTAAATCATAAAAAAGCTTTTTATAAGGGTCATTTTATGATTGATATATTGAAAAAACTTGTAATTAAAAGAAACAAAAATAAAAATTGTTCAATTTTTATTTTTCAATTAATTAAGTGGTTTTTAAAATACCAATCGCACTTTACTATGCATAAATTACAGTATACTGAATATTAATTTTCATTTTAATGTATTGCTTAGAATATAATTTCTGTATATATAACGTAGTTAAGTGTACATAAAATATAAAGAAAGTCAACAATTAGTTTAAACAAATGAAAAACCATAGTTCAGTCGATATCATAACATGGTAGATTTATTATACATTTAAATTGATTGAATATTTAATGTATAGATTAATTTGCAAAAGGTAATAAAATCATTGAAAATTTCTAAAACAATATAAATCAAAATTTAAATTTATACCAAACAACATTAATATTTTTTAATATCAATATTAATCATCAAATATTCACAGCGTGATAATTAATGGGCTTATGTTTTTAATCATTACCAGGATATAAAATAGATTATGAGCATAAGACTCTCCAACATATGATAATTTTTTATGCAAATAAATAATTTAATTTTCCTACCAGTTAATCGATATTTTTCTGATGAAGTTATTTTAAAATTGAACTCAATTGTTAATAAAATATTCTAAAATTTTGAAATAATACATATAAAAAAAAATTAATTATTTCTAAAAAATATTACCAGTTCTGATGTTATACTAAATTCCGATACATTTTCCACTAAATGTTTTAGCTTCGATGCAAAGCTGAGAAAATTTTAATTTTACCATCATGTATTTATTTATTTTTTTCTGTGTCGGTGGTCAATATTTTTTCTCAGTACTTACTGGACCGATTTTTCTCAACGATGCGTCAAAAGATCACAAATTGTATCTAATTAAAGACATAACTCTAAAAATTTTTTCTAAATATTGTCATGACTTATTCAAAAATGACCAAATCAAAATATTTTTTTTATATTAAAACCTTAAGTAATTTCCTTTTATTTGATAAAATATTTTTGAAAATCTGACTCTAAACCTGCACACAAGAGGGGAACTTTTTACCAAACTCAACTTTTTCAACTTAAGTTTTAAAAATGTTCCGGAAATACTGTATCCTTTAAACATATGTCAAATTAAAGCTTATGTTACGTATTATAAATTACAAAATAATTGCCCCTGCGACCTATCTTCTTTATGCAAATGGCTGCCGTAGTTGAAAAACATGCTAATTTTATTTTTTTTTGTTTATTTTAGAACACCTTATAAGGGTTTGCTATAGTAATGAGTCCACAAAAAAAGAAAAATTTACATGAATGTAATATTAAATATAACTTTATACTTATTTTCATTATTTTGCCTCTTCAAAGTTAAGAAAAGCTTTTTTGAATTTTTGAAAATTTGTAGAAAAATTAGAACTTTTTCAACTTAACTTTTGAAAATGTTCCGGGAATACTGCATCTTTTAAATAAATGTAAAATGAAAATTAAATTAATTAATAGTAAAGAGTTTTTTGTGAACTATGTTTATGAATAATGAATGAATAACAAATGAAATGAATAAATAAAAACTAAAATAAATGAAATTAATGCTTTGGAAAAAAAAAGTTCATGTATAAATATTCTAGATTATAATGAAGTTAATTATCGATTTAGGGACAAAATTATTGAATATTATGAAGTGATAAAAATGAAATGGCTAAATCTAAGTTAGAATAACTGAATTATTAATTGTTTAGTTAAATTTAATATCTTACTATCATTAACATACTATCTGAAAACTAGTTCCTTAACATCACATTTTTCATACTCAATGCATAAATAAATGTAGTGTTATTTAATCATTACTGGTATAAATACTATTGTTTTAGTTATAGTAGGCACAATGTCAATTGACTGGTCAAAATTTGGTCAATTGACCAATGAAGTTATAAACGGTTATATACAAGTGAAACTAGAAAAATATGAAATATATGTTTAAATTTTCAATTTTATTGCACAACAGGATCTTTTTGTACATTTGGTCATAATTTTATAGAAGATATGGTTTAATATTTTTTTAAAACTGGACACTAGTACATGAAAAAGTTGGAATTTTAGTAACTTTGATGTTTCAAAATAACTAAATCTTAAGTAAGTAATTTTTAAATATATTAAGTTAGTGTTTAGTAATAGTGGTTAATAGACATTTTATTATTGTACCGAATAAAAATGATATTTTCCTAAAAAATGTTAAATAAAAATACATTATTATAGTATATTAACAAAACAAAATATTTAAGTATTTTATATTAAAATTATTATTTATAGAAAAAATAATTTAAAAATTACGGTAATAAGGAGAGGAACAGTTTAAGGAAATTTTTACCTTCATACCACAGTACAACAAAATCGAACTTCAGTACTTATTTACAGAAAAATAATGCGTTCCCAACTAAGATATTTTTATGGCTATTATGACATTTTTTTAAAATATATTGTAATTCTAATTTTTACAATTATATAATATCAGGATTAAGATGATTAAATTTTTGTTCAAATTACATTTCTAGTTTTAAATATAGGTATAAAGATTAAATATACATAGTGATCAAAAGACAGCTAAAAATGTTTAAAAATAGTTTATAAAGTTATGTATAATGTTACATTATTTTTTTTTACCTTTGGTAAGAATTATTAGTTTTTGCCCTAATGAGATTTTTTTTTATCTACCTATATATGTAATATTTGTATGGATATTATTTATTAAATATCCTATTCTTACTGAACCGATTTTGCTTAACAATACGTCAAAGATCACAAATGCGTTCCAAAAATCTTTAGTTCTTTAAATTTATATCCAATTAAATTTAATACAATATACTTAAACATAAAACTATCTGAATCTCAATTTCTTGATAATGATGGTCTTACATTTTCATACGAAATCATACATTTTTCGGAAAAATAGCCGACTTTATAGTTTTGGACAATGTTAAGAACAACCTGCTTTCTTAAAAAATATAATGTTCAATAAGTAAGGAAACGGATTTCTATTGTTCTCATTGTTTATAACAATTAATATGTTTCCTTACTTACTGAACATCCTGTGTACATTTTACTATGTAATAAACGTTCTATTTTTTTTTTTTTTTTTTTTTTAAGTAATTGACCATTTAAGTAGAAAATTGTAAAATTTCCTTTAAAATTTACAAATCCCAATAAAAATTTTAACAGTTACACTTAAAATAATTGTATTTATTTTAATAATGCATTCATATTATATCTAGTCAAACTCCAAATAATGATAACTGTTTATGTATAAAGTAATTATATGTTTCGTTACTTCCATGTCAAACGTGTATCAAAATTTTAATAGTGGATTTATAAAAAAAAAAAAAAAGAAAGTTAACTTTCTTAATTTGATATTCTGGTCTTTATAAGTTAAATATTATTTCAGTTATAAAATTGAAATTTATCATAAGCTATTGTGTGATATAAATTTTTTTTGGAAAGGGCATATTTCTTCTTTTATTATATTTGTTGAATTAATATTGAAAGTTTCAAAAATCTCCATGGAAATTTGTACAACTAATATTTAAATATTTTTATTATATCATTTTTTGTGAAAGAAGAAGGTTAATGGAAGTACCTCCATCCTATATGACTATAATATTAGACCTAAAATATATGTTAAGTAATTTTACACAAATATTTAAGTAAAAAATTATAACAACATGAAAAACGATTATTTTTTACACAAAAATAATCTTATTTGTTTAACTTCCGGGGTTATATACATATAGTAGTCAAATCGTGAAGACAAGTTTTTTTCGACTTATAGTTTGTAATATAAGCATTAATTTAACATATGTTTTGAGATAGGAGTAAATCTGGAATATTTTCAAAAATTACATTGAAAAAGTTAACTTTTCATACAAAAGTTGCTATTTCAAATCCCAGGATTCAAAATTAAAAAATCTGACGCTTTAACTACTCACAGAGACCCTGTGAGTAAGTACAGCTTTAGGTTGTTTAAAAATTATACTAAATGAAAGGAAAAGATCTATAGTATCTAAAAAGAAAAATGATATTGATTCGTTCATTTTCAAAAAGTATTGGTAGTTTTAAGTACAGAAAGTTAAAAAAATATTAAAATTTACTAATTTTAAAAATAGCAATTTTTTTAAGGATTTTTCCGATTTAAAGGAAACGGGCGGAATTTTTTCAACTTTTTAGGGTAATTTCCCAAATTTGACACGAGTTTGTTCTTTTAATGTATCGATCCAGTGAGAATACAAAAAGATGGTAACATATATACAAAAAATAAACAAATAGTAAAATTAGTACTTTCTTGGCTTCTTACAGAAGCTAAAAGACACGAAAACTTCTCTCAGGCATTTAGTTTTTCAGGCTTATTGGCACAATAAAATAAAAATCTTGAAGAGGTGCTAAATTAATTTTTCCTACTCATAAAATTTTTCTTATTTTTACGATTTATATAGTTTTCTACATTCATGGAACTATACCCCCTGTCCCCCTCTAGCAGCGCCTATATCAAAATTAGATATCTCACTAATCCTGAATTTCGGATGCAGAGTTATTTTTTAGAACATGCCTTTAGCTAAATTGAAGTAGACAACCATTTATTGATTATAGTATAATTAAATATTACATTATATAATTATGTGATATATGAAATCTTATATTAGGAAAACCGTTAGAACTATTTTTAAGTTATTATTGCATATGCATTTCGACTTTTTCAATGTGATCAATTTCTTAAATAACTTTTAAATTTCCACTTCAAACATTTATGTACAATAAGTTTATACGTGTCATGTACAAACTTTTTTATGTGTTTAACACATTTTTGTCAAAAAATGTTTAAACACATTTAATAATAAAATTTTGTACTTTTATATATAATTAACAATTTATTTCGGTTTTATGCTCAACCACTTTTGTGTTACTTATGACTCATATGTTTATGTTTATGATTATGTACAAAAGAATTTCTAGTTGATTTGTGCCCAGATTGCCATCTTAGACGGCAAGATACACTTAAACGAGTATAAATACATAAGTATACAGTTTTAAATTTTAGTTTTCTTCAATAACTCTTTAGTTATACTATTTAAAACATTAATTTTATTTTTATTTGGGCGTGTAAGAAAATACGCCTATCACATGAAGTAGACTGTTATTATAATATTAGTCTACTTTTGAACAAAAAATTATAATTAATTCATAGAATGTTGATCCAAGACTTGTAGAATTAAAGTATATAAACGTAAATGAGTTAAAGAATCAGGATATGGGAGAGTAAAAACGATTCGTTTAATTAGGTTTATTTGACTAGAAATATAATGACATTTCTAAGACTTTCTCAATCAATTTTAGATTAAATGCAAGTTATTTTAAAAATAGACAAATACTATAGCAGTAATCCAAGTATAATTTTATTGCTTTAATAACTCTCATCAAAATGGAGTTAATGACCAAAATTAAACTATTTTATAGCACACGCTATTAAAAAAATTTGAAAGTGCAACAAAAAACAGTATTTATAATAAAATAAATAAATAAATTCAAATATACTTTAATGTGAAAATATTATACCCTTAATAGGACGAGACCACAATAAAGATTTATTTAGTGTGTTGTTTACCTTTAATGACGAGGTAATTATTTACCCCAGATAATTTTTAATATTGTAAAAATCATTCATTGTACTTAAACAATATAATAAAAATGATATTTTATAATTTGTAATTTTATTACATATAATGAATAATCAATAAAAATTAATTAATGTAAAGAAAAAAGTTTATCACCCGCGTGAAACTATATGGACTGATATCGCTCACGTCACTAAAAGTTAAAACGAATCTTAACATTTTTTCGTTAGTTAAAATATGTAAGGCGTATGTAATAATTTTTATTTATAATAGAATTTTACAATAAAATATCACCCAATTTACCCGGAAATGTCGAAGAACCAATTCTTGAAAATATTAATTTGCGATATTATTCACATCACTACTCAGTAAATTTACTCTTAAAGATATAACAACTTCTTCTTTTTCCTCGCCTTAATCTCAATTACTTGGGATCTGCCACCCTTATCCTAAACTTCAACTTGACACGATCTCCCACATCCTCAACACTCACATCAGTTGTCCTCATATAGCATTCAATAACATCTCTTCATCTCTTTTTTGGTCTTCCTCTACCTCTTCTTCCTTCAACACTTATTTCTATGACTGTTCTTACAGTTTCCGATTCTTCTCTCCTCATAACATGACCAAACCATCTAGCCTATTTTCTCTCATCTTATCACTACAACTATACTCCCACTTATATGTTCGTTCCTTATCCTATCTTCTCTGGTCACTCAACTCATCCATCTAAGCATTAAAAAAAAAGAACACTCAGTAAATTTACTCTTAAAGATATAACAACTAAATTGAAAAATAATAATTTATAATTTTTTGGTTAGCAAAAAAAAAAAAAAGTTATCAAAAAAAAATATTAGAGTGCGCAACATATTTGTCACCAGTGCGACAAATTTCTGAATACGTCTCTACATATTCAAGATAATATGCATCACACAAAATTCTTTATTCTTTAACCATGTATACTTTTATTTAACTTTATCAAAATATGAAAATTATATTATCACTTTGACTTCTGACACGAATAAATCATCAATAGTACATTGACGAAAATTCACTAAATTGAACTGTACTTTCTATAGTTCATAAAAACGCTACTTATACTGACCTACGCAATATCCCACACGTTTTGTCCTAGAAATTATTAAAACCACAAAAAATATCTATATTCTTAAACATAAAAATAGAAAATATTTATCGACTTCAATCTATTTTTTAATCACGAATTCTAATACTTTCAAAGAGTTAACTTTTCAAATACTTACATTCAAAGTAATATGTTCCTGTAAATTAATTGTAAAAAAAAGTCTTGGGAAAATTTAAATATACATATCACATGCTGTTTCCTTTTTCAGTTAGCATTAACAGAAAGGTGCTGAAGACACAAAAGTGAAAATATAGTTGTGATTCATTACCATAACAAATAGTATTTGGCGGAGGTGCTTAGTGATTTTTCATGTATATATTTTTGTATACATAATTACGCTTTATAAAAATAATAGGTGTACTATAATTGGATACCTCGACTTTGGATCCTACACGGATATTTTTGTAATGAAATAATAAAATAAAGTTGGGATTTTATTTAATATTCTATTATATAATAAGACTATTAGCGAAAACATTTTACTACACATAATGTATAATTTAGTTTTTTATTTAAGGATATCATTTATAAAGAAATACATAATTTTAAAATATTATGCCATATTTTAACTTCGAATATAAAATATTTTATAAGATGACATATTATATAAACTCTCCTTCCAAACACAAATTTCCCTTTTATAATTCTCTTCGCTTTACAATAGTAATTAAAATATGATTTTTTAAATTCATCACACGTCAATTAGTCATATAAATAAATACCACAATGTGAATTTAATAATCATATTAATCCATATTAATTAATATTTTATTTTATTATTTTTTTTTAGACTATTATCACTCTTCAGTTGTTTTTGTCTTTGATTCGATTTAAACAAAAAAAGTTGGGATCAAACGTAATGAAGTTGAGACATTTTTTTAGTTTAATATTGATTGATATTCGATAGTGATTAAAATCAATGTTATAAAGCACTTCGATATATATTTGAAACAAATTAAAAAAAAATTATTATATTTATTAAAAACTACATGATTTTTTTATTTAAGATACCGATTACTTATAGAGGAAGTCATTGGAACGTTTTAATTTTTTTAGTCGTATAAAGTTATTAGTTGCATTAAATAAGCTTAAATTTGAAACAATTAATAATTTTTGGAGTATTCCATTACTATACAAAAAACTACAAAATTCTTACGGAAAATCGTGTGGTTTTTGGCTTTAATTTCCAATAACTCCTAGAAGATTAGATTTCGAGATATTTTTTGTTTTTTCATTCTAAAGAACATTATATTACCTTCAATTCGATGTATGGTTAAAAATATAAAGTTTTTGGAACATTTTAAATACTTGAAAAAAAAAAATACATTTGATATACTGTGTATACTATTTCCAGTTAAATCATAGTTAATGATTAGATTTTTAAAAAAAGTATGTTGAAAATGAGGTACTTGTCTAAATATTACCATTGAAAATTAGTTTTTGATACTGTTTCTCATTCCCGGGGTGCAAATAAAAATATGAGTATTTAAATTAAATATTATCTAAGCTTTAATTTTTAATAATTCATAATAAATTAAAAATGTTGTGTTGTAATGTTTATTTTAATAGACATATTTCAATTCAATCTTTCATCAAATAGTGCTAATAATTAAGCTAAATATTTAACTCATTAAGACGAATCCATATAAACTACTAGTTTTAAAACTGATTATTTAAAATAATTATTCACGTAGTTCTTCTAGCCACGAATCCATACTCAATATTTAAATTTTAGAGAGGTCTGATTTGAATTCAGCTTTTTATTCGTGTAATGTTGTTATCCAAATTGTATTACCAAATTTCGGGATATGGACTTTTTTCATAGTAGTTATCTTAGCATGAAACATCTACTACATTAATTACTACTCTCTTCTTTATTAATGAGTGAACATATTTTTTATTCTATTTATATTTAGCTCTAATATAATTTAATTTCACCTTAATCTTGCATTAACTAAATGTATATTTAAAACTATCTTAAAATTAATAGTAATATTTCTACCAAATAATTGTTGAAAATTTGTATGAATTTACAATATTTTTATCTTCTCCTACATTTTTTGTCATTACATAAGTTTAAAAATATCTATTTTTTTTTAAATTATATAGTATAATTATCATTGATATCATACAATCTTGTCGGTTTCTTAAAAAAAAAAAAAACAAGTCGAGAGCAAATCGTACAAGGAAAATCTAGTATTGAGGACTATTGACCTTGCTTAATAATTTAAGATTACATTAATCTTGTATAGAAGTCGAAGACCTCTAGAATTGGAAAGCGTTTTCTCATTTAAACTAATCTTATACGCAGTATGAACCGTCCGGTTAGACTATACGTACTACTTTAAGAAACTAAGAAAGCAAAATTCACCCTGTAGAGGATGTTTCATTATACAAAATTACAATCGAGACTTTTAATTTTTGAAAATGAAAAAGACTTTTGGTTTAAAATATTTTAAACTAGACTTATTCTAAAATATATTTTCAATAATAATAACCAAACTTATAAGAGCTGTTATATAAAAAAAACTTAATTTTTCCCCTCCAAAAATTTTATTTTATTTGCGCTTGTGTATTCATACAGAGTATATATATTTTTGGTTGGTAATAATTTATTAAAACCACATCCATTAATTTAATTATTAATTATGTTATAATAGCTCTTTAATTTACTAAATTACTTAAGTCAGTTGCAATCCTGCCATTGGGCAGTTTCTAAACAAGTTATTGTTTTTTCAAAGTCATTTGTATATAATAATTTTTTTTTATCACAAGTACTTATGGTATATTTTATACAAATTGTATGTTTTATCATTAAAAATAAACACATCCATTCATAAGGTTTATTTTTACAAGCTACACTTAAAATTCTTTAAAACAATGCATAATAAAAATGTATCTCCACCAAAGTGAATCAAAAAATATTTCATAATTAAATAACTTATAGTAATAACATAATTAGGCTTGTATTTTGACCATTCATTTTTTTCTACGCGAGACCTACGACCCATTATTGATACGCTTAGACGATTACATTAATTGCTTTGAGTTAGTGTAAATAACAAAATAATTTTTAGCTTTCTAGAGATGGTAAAAATAAAATTAATTCATTGACCATTGATAAAACAGGTCCATAATACAATTCTATAATTGATAAACTTAATAAAATATGAAAAATTTGTTGGACGACTCACATTTTGTACAATAAAAACGTTATTTCTCTGTTGTAATAATTTACAACGCAATATGCCTATAATAGTTTTAAATTTAGTTTGATACTCTAGTCTCCGAGTATTGACTCATCTATTCAAACTACTTTTCATTTGGTTTACTTCAATTGATTTATAATAATTGATGTGTCGCCAATAAAAGTAATTTACCAATAAATTTCAACGATCACACTTGTAATTATTCCTTTGATCATTGTAGACAATACTGTCCTACCGATTTTATGTAATATATCGATGAAATTTACTTTGAAAAACTGCCACTTTGAGGTACCCGTGACAATTAGGTTCAAAAGTATACGTTATTAATTGCACACGTTCTTTACATCTAATACTATATGGGCAAGAACACGCCCTATCCAAACCAATTTCATTGTTACCGGGTGATGTGCCAATATAATTGCAGTAACTGTGCAACAGCTGCACCGTGACTTGACCATCAACCATCATACCCTTTCGGTACTGTACACAAACTTCCATACACGTTTTCTTGCCTCTTGGAGTGAACCTGACTTTGGACAGCTCTTCGGCAAACGTGTATATGTGCAACTCACATAGATGTATGGTGTATCTAATTGGGAACTTTGGTCCTATTCGCATAGAACTTATGATACAATCAATATTAAATATTACATAACAACTAATCAACTATAATACACTTACCCAAAATTTCTAGCGGGTCGCGAAAATATCCACACCCTTCTGCAGGATACGTTACGATTTGATTGTGTTCATTTGAGTTAATATATTTCGTGAAAGATACTTCACGTTTATCTTTATTGATATTCGTTTTCGAGTATTCATTTAATTCATTACATCCTCTTTGATTTACTATCGCCATCAAAAGCAGAAATGTCGTTTCACTAAAACTCATTATTTTGTTTGATGATCAATTGAAATGCGAGCACTATAAACATACACCGCGGAAACGTGCGTGGGCGTAATGAAAAATTACATACTACAATATAAAATATTCGTCATTGAAAGTATTATTTGATTATAATAAAAGAGTAAAATATTTTTTTGACTTGATATGTATAATAATTTCAAAAGTTTAAAATTTACTCGTGAAAATATTTACTGTTTTATCTATTATTCATTAATATAAATGTAAGTGCATATTATGTCACTACTGAATATTGCTTACCCATAGCTTAACACAAATGAATCAATGATAATTGATTTTATTTTACATGTTAGTATTCCAGTTAAACTAACATAAATAATAAATTCAATTTACATTATACACGGATATAAAATTTTGTTGTCATAGTTTCTAAATTGATATTAAATTTTAATAATATGTGGCTTAAAATTTTTCTAAACAAATAATTTACACCGATTGATCTAAATAAACTTATTAAGTTTTTAGCTTTGACACGAAGCTGAGAAGGTATTAATTTTACTATGTTTTTTTTTATGTCTGTGTCGCCACATTTTCTCAGCTCTCACGGGACTGATTTCTTTCAACGATACGCCGAAAGATCACAAATCTTATCTAGTTGAATACATTGCCCTTAGAAATTGAAAAAAATTCCTTTGTTCTCTGTAATTGGAGGAAATCCCCCAAAAAATTACACATTTTCAAAAATGAAAAAATCAAAATTTTTTTTTAAGACACCTTAGATATTTTTTTTCATTTGATACAAATTTTTTTCAATTAAATTTTATTAAATAAAATAAAGTACAATGAAAAATGAATTATTGACTTAAAATAGAACCGATGTTTTAATGATTTATGTAAACTGTATCGAGGAATGTTGTAAGTTAAAATACAACCATTATTATCAAGTAATTAAATGAAGAAATGTGAAAATACACATAATATTTACTCTGTATTATGGTTTTCTACTTCAACACTCAAAACTACAATAGAGGTGTGGTGTATCAGAACAGCCGCAAGTTTAGCATAATCGTTTCGCTATTAACAGTTTTATATTATACAATTTTCTTCATTTTTTTTAGAAAAACGTTATTATAATTAAAACCTTTTAATTTTATAGATAATATATAAATCATTTAAAATTACATTTTCTAGTACATAAGTAAAAACACGTAAAATTAAATACAAACAAAAATTACATTAAAATAATTAAATCTAATGACTCTAATATCGATGTAGATGTTTATTAAGATATCACTTAATAAATCCATCGTTTTGAAGACATTACTTTGTGCTGCAGCTACTTTTTATGCAAGTTGTCCCTGTCTAATTTTATTATGCTGTTTTCAATAGAGTTTTACAATTTACCAGCCCCACTTGTGAAAATTAATATATTTTACATTGATCAAAATATTACTGAAACCAGTACTTATTGTTTACTGATCTTATGTTACATAGCGATGAAATTTACTTTCATAAACTGCAACCTTAATATACCCCAGACAGTTTGGCTCAAAAGTATAGGTAATCAGTCGTGCTCGTGATTGACATCGAACTCTATAAGGACAAGAACATGTCCGGTCTAATCCAATTTCGTTGTCACCAGATGCTGTACCAATGTAATTGCAGTAACTATGTAATAATTGCACTTCGATAACTCCGTCTACGACCATGTTTTTTCTATATTGATCGCAAACTTCTAAACACGACTTTTTACCTCTGGGTGTGAACTTTACTTTAGATAACTCTTCAGCATACGTGTATAAGTGCAATTCACATAGATGTACCAAATACTTATCTGAGAATTTAGGACCTGTAGATTAATGATAAAGATAAAAATTAAATTAATTAAATAAGATGGAGTTATAAAATTATATTTCTATTCTGAATAATATAAAAAAAAAATGTACTTATTATTTTTATCATTAATTTTTGCATAATTTTGTTTTATTACAATTTTCAATCAGTATAGTTTATTTGACATCAAATTTTGCTGATTAAAATATTTTGTTAAAAAAAACATTTTAAAAAGAATCCTAATATATTTATAAAGCGGAAAATTCGCTCCCTTAACTTGCCATTTGGATTTGTTTGCATTTTTGGTTAATTTTAAAAACATTAAATCCACTAAAAAAATGTAAAACTTCAAAAACTGTTTTGGCAGTTGTTTTTTCCAAAAAAGTGTATATATAAAGAATGAATCAAGAATAAAGATGTTTTAAGAGTAATTGCTTATTTTGATAGAGACCTTCACATCAGACGTTGAACCACTAATAAAATTATGCATGTCATGAAAAAATTATTATCAAAAACTAATTTTTAGAAGAAAGAAATCAGAAAAAATCTTTCAAAAATTGTGTTTAATTTGCATCTATATTGAATATATAATTAATAATAAATAATTAATTTTTTACCCAAAATTTCCACTGGATGTCGAAAATATCCCTTTCCTTCGATATCATTTGAACAGGCACTGTTTTCGTCATTATGATTTTTATTTAGAAACATGTCTTGTTTGGCTTTTTCGTTTACAGTTAATAGATTGGACTTATCTTTTTGAGCAAATTCATTAGCAATTGTAGTGTACTCGTCCGTCGTAGTACCACTACTGTACAAAATAAATATGAAACATAGGGAAACGATTTTAAAATGAAAATACATGGTTTCATTGAAATTTGGACATGCTTAACATATTAGCAATCCATAGAAACAGGTTAAGAGAAAAATATTTAAGTACAAATATAAGTAGAAAATTAAAAACTTATTTAGCCAATACAACGAACATTTTCCAAACATGATTAATAAAAATTATAATTTAATGGATGACGTTATCATATTTGGTACTAATCAACATGTGTAAAAGATATTAAGAATATTTGATCGAAACAATTTCTTGTATGATTTTATTAATGCAAACAAATTTTCGAGAGTGAAAAACAAATTTTAACACATAAAAGATGTATTGATTGATTCACTCCAAAAAGCATAGATTATGGTCAGGTAAATGAGTAACAATAAAATATCAAAATTTACAAACTAAAATATTCTAAATATTAATAATGATAGCAAAAAACGATAAATATATTAAACAAAAAAAATGTATAAAATAATTTCAATCAAGCAAAGAATTACTTTTCTTGAAATTAACTCTTTCTATTAAAGAAGTAATACATATTGTTATCTATTTCTTAATAATTAATATTGTCGTAATATTAATTATAACTTTAAAACTATGATAAAAACTAATTCTTATATACAAATTTCAAACAAACCAAAACATTACATATTTTTTAATGCATAGTAAAATATAAATTTTTAAAACATAAATCAATTCTTTTATTAAATCTATTGAAAACATTTTTTAGTTAAATGACAATGGCCTAATTATAGTAGGACTAAAATGTTCAATAATAAGTAAATATATTATTAACTGATGTAACCCATTATAAATTAAAACTTTATTGAAAAATTCATTTTCAACTTTTATGTGAGGCACATGAAATTTTACGTTTTGAATAATCGTGCAAAGAAAAAATTAAAAAATGTATACACATATATTGACGATAAGGATTATCATTACCTCAAAGTGATAAAAATATTGTTTAAATTATAGCAAAAAAATAATCAATAATATTACTAGAGTACAATGTAACTTTTTTGCCAAAATGTTAAGCAGGCATTATTGAGCCAAATTGAGAATGATCCCCAAGATGTGCTATTAAACGGTACTTAAACTATTGATATAAAATAATTAGTTTTTGGTATTAAAATAAGCAATGACATTTAATACTCCTTGGGCCAATTAGAATTAGTTTTTTATTTATTCGTATATTGACAATTTTTATTTAAGAATTTTATATATTAGTATTTATATATAAAGTTTAAGGTAAATAGTAAAATTCAAACAATATAATAATATTAATGTTAATTGATGAGGACAAGTCCCCGTGGTATCTAAGGATAGATAAAATAATAGGATAGAAAGATTATTATTCTAATAAGTTAATTTACCAAAACTTTTTTCTAGATTGAATTTTCTTAATTATGATATTGATAACTAGATCAATTTTTTAAATAGGCTAGCATACTTTAGTAATACATGTTTAGCTGTAAAGCTATGCATCATATCATTTGAACGTAGATACACATAGATACAACTATTCACAATATGCTCAGTTCAATTGTTAGTTCTATTTTATAGTGCCACAGTTATTAGAAGGTCGACTTGGCTTATACTCTCCTTAACATGTGACTAGCTAGGTATGGCTAGTCACTTATAAGACTCAATCAGGACTTATATCAGAGCGAATTATAAATATAAAACATTAATCATCTAATAATAAAAATATTTTATTTTTTTAAATGCATTATTTTGTATATATAAGTATTGAACATATTATTACATATAAATATGTAAAAATATATTTTTTCTCAAAAAATCAACTTTAATTTTTATTTAAAATGTCACAATTTCAATTAAAGATTTTATAAATTATTATTATTTTAGTTAAAATATAGTAAACAATTATAAAGAAAATACTGAATGGTGAATATAATTTATAATGTAATAATGTGAATAAACTAAAATAATAAAATCTTTATAATACAAAACAATTGAGTTTAAAGCTAAATAATCATAGAAAAAATAAGAATACAACATAGTTTAGTTTTGTTAAATATAAATTGATATTGATTAAAATTAGAAAGTTTATAAATGTTAATAATAATATATATTTATATAAATATCAATAAGTATTGATCCAACAGTAGTCAGACTAAATTGGTTCACAGATACTTTTACAGTCTTTTCGTTTAAACATAGCCAATAAACGAGGACACCTTGGACAAATTGGAAATTTACGTGATACAAAACATTTTGCATGGTAACATGAACCACACTCATTACATTTTGTTACTTTACGAAAATCCCATGGAAACAGTACATCATTGTTTTTGCAAATTTCACACGAAAAACCTCTTGCTTGACAAAGCTATATTAAAATTAATAGTATTATCAGTAAAAATATTAAAATAATCCAAGAGCATATAATTGTGAAGTTACAGGCATAAAAATAGTGAACGTTGAAAAAAATTAACCATGAGTTGGTTAATTTTATTTATTTATAAATTAAGCCTTGCAAAAAATCATTTTTGAAATGATAATGGTAATTAAAGTATTTATATATTCTAAGTAAATTTAATTAATTTAATATATAAATACAAAAAATTAAAAAATGCTTGCATAAAATCCACTGTTGTATTTTATATAAATAGTGACTAGTATACTTTGTAAAAAATTTTAAGTACTTTGTGGTAGGAACGTACTATATTTTAATAATAATATATGTATATGTAAACTTCTAGAGGTTTGGTTGGGCGAATGCTGTGGAAATGGTTGTTAGCTGGGTTGAAGAGCAGTTGGAAGTATTTCACATCAGTAGAAAATGTAAAAGATATTTTGTTTATAAATGTTATATTTGTTTAATTTAATAAATTAATTTATTAGAAGTTAACATATAATATACCGGAGTCCCACCCTGTTCTGACTAATCCTAAAACTTTTAAGTGACTTGGGTAACTTTTTCAGTTAAGTACTATACTACAAATAAAATACAAAACATTAAGAAAAAACTTTGCTACAAAATTTTGCCACTCAATAAAATAGCTATTATAAAATTTTATCAAACATTTTTAATAATTTTCTAAGAAATTTAAAAATAAAATCAAAAGTTATGGACTTTGTCAGAATAGGCTAACATACTTTATCTGTATACTAAATTAATGAAAAAAATTATTTGAAGTTAATAATACAGATTGGGTCATAAAGATATGACAAATCGAATAATTTTGTTGAAATTAATTCTTGTGCCTTCTTAGACTATGTTCAAAGTATATATTTTATTATTTATCATTAATAAGGAAAAATAAAAATACAAATTTTTAAATTTTTTTTAATTTTCAAATAGTTACTTTTTAGTATTTTTCTTATAAAAAAATTTTATGGGTTGATAGCAATAAAGTTATCTGTATATTATAGAGATCTTTAATTATTAACCTGACAGTTAGTCACATGTTTATTGCAACTAATAATTATACTCTGTAGCTTTTTTCCAAGGTCTCCATTTTTGACATCTATCATATTTTGAATTGAATAAAGATCTGGTTCAGGGATTAAATGTGGCTCTAACTCATCAAGCAACTCTTGTAACCTATAAATTAATAAAAGTTGAACTAATAGTTAAATAAAAAATAAAAATTATATTGAAAGTGAAGTGTATATACTTATTTGCATATCTACATAAAAAAATAAAATCTCGTATGTAAGACAATTGCTGGCGATACAATCTTACTCTGTCAAGTCCACGAGCACGTTTATACAACTCATTATTCAAATCAGCTATATTGAATAAAGGATCTCCAAGTAATTGTTCAAGTAATGTAAATGAAAAACATGATACAGGATATCTAAAATAAAATTAACGTACATTTAACCTTATTAGTATTGCGTAATCATTTTAATAAGTGAAAAATTATTTACTTGGAGAAATCCCATTTGGATATAATTCTACCAGGAATTATTGCTGTTTTATCTATATGACACCCTGTACAGAAATATCGACCTAAATAAAAACAATAACGAAATTTTGAAGCATATTTAATATCCACTTTCATACTACAACCAGCACATCGATAACCCTGTTGTTCCATCACTTTTTTTCTTCTACAAATAATAAAATAAAATTTTTAATTTATTGTACTTGTATAATTACAATGAATTTGTTACAAGGGACGATTTTAAACACGAGTTTAACAACAGGTATTTATTCTAACATTTTTGATCTAGCTAACTTACATATCTCTTAGAATATAGTTAATTTATATTATATATTATATTATACTTATATTTAATAACACTTAGTCTATCTTTGTCAAATCAAAAATAAGTTAACATAAACAAAAAATTAAGTGTTTTTTCACAGCAGAAACGTTTTTGTTAGAGCTTACATTAAAACATGTTTTCCATATATAGCTTACATAGGAGGAGGATGAGTAGTGAATATAATTTGTGGACGTGGAGGCGCCCAAAATGAAGTCCCTCTTAAACTAGTAGTTTTTAAGTCTTCTGGTTCATAAGGATTAACTGGATAACTTGAGGGTAAAGGCAACGTCTAAAAAATAAATTAATTTAAAACAACTAAAATTCATTAATATATAAAATAAGTATTATTATACTTTTTGGGCAACTTCATTTTCAGATATAAGCCACTGTATATTACAATCAGAAGGTGAATTTTCATGATTAAATTGCCTAATCAACGATCGAGCAACACTTTCAGCAGTGATCATAGAACATGAACTTGGTGTTCTCAAATCTATATTTGAGTATAATGAGCTAACAGGAGAATTACACACTGATATTTTAGATGAATAATCTATAATTTCGTTTTCATTTTCAAGCTCATCAGTATCAGTGGTAGATAGACTTGACGTGGTAGAGCAATATGAAGAAGTCAATGAACTCATTGTGTAATCAGTTTTTGTAGCTAAAAATAATTTTTATTAAATAAAAAGTTTTCATGCAAGTGTAAATAGTATTTACAAACTATGCTTAATATCATTTAAAATAGGATGTAATAAAAACAAAAACAAAAATTACATTCAGAAATACAATCAAATGTAGAAGGTAAAGGTAATTTAACCATTTCAAATTGCTTTTGTCTTCTACGGGATTGAATCCGTTGTTTTAAATTATTAATTTCTTCATCACTTTCATCTAATGTTTCACTAACAAAGTTGAGTTTCTGATTGCATTTGATCTATAATAATAAATAAAAGAAAATACATATGATAAAAATAAAATATTTTTAACTATAACAGGGAATGTGAAATGGGCTGTTAGCAATAGTTTAAATAAAATTTTATTTATAAAGGAATTATTAAAATTTGTTCTAATAATTTATAATTTAAAACTTCTGAATATTCTGTTATCATACTCTGTAATGAATTAACATATAAGGCAATGAAACTATATCTATCCCCTTAAATTATGGTCAAATAGTTTAGTTTTATATGTTAAAAATATTTAGAAATATGAATTTCATACCACCTATTTCATAATTTTAAATTATCTTTTATCATAGAATAAACTAATTAAGGACCTCATGAGCTAATGGTATTTTTCATAGACATTTCAGTAAAATTTGTGTCATTATTCTAGGCATGGTATGCAGTGAGATTTGAAAATATGAATGGGAATTATAATTGTGCAATGAGACATGTCTCCAAGTGCCATACAGAATCACAAATTTAGCATTGTTTTATTTTTCGCGGCATATCTGGCTCAGTGGGTCACATATGCTTTAGTATGTAGGTACCAAAGTTTGATTCCATTATGTTAGGCTAAGTAGATTTTCCTGTCCTCTCTCACAATAGCAATAGCTTTTTGCATAGGTGTTAAACATAATTTACCAATTATTGAACAACAGGACTGTAATATATATATAAAAAAAAACAATTGTTTTTGCAGTTTTGTTTGTCTACAATATTTTTTTTCAGCCACCCAAAAAGTTTTTAAATACACACCAGTCTATCAAAATAAATGGCAGTCGAAATTTTTTATCTACTAAGTAAACTACTATATTTTAACAATAGTAAAAATATAAAAAACAACTCCAAATGGTTAAGAAATTTTAAATTCCAAATTATCAGAGAGTTATACTTTTCTTAATTTTTAACATTTCAAGTGTATATTTGAATTTCTTAAACACTTTTACACCAATATAAATTTGAAATACCCTAAATTATAGAGCCATATTGTTAATGACTGTTAAGTATAAGATCTCAACCTGACAAATTGCATGTTATTATTAATAGTTTAATTTTTGAATTTAGTTTTCTAAAAACAATTTTTTTTGTAGATTTCAGGAAAAAAGTTTATTTTTTCAAAAATTTTTTACAAGCTTTCAGTAATTTTGATTTTTAATTCTAGGTATCTTATATAAATTGTATCATAAAAATAAAAAATTACTTGTTCTATAGTAGCAATGATTACTTCAGATATAGTGAAATGTGCATTCTCTCGACTAAGTTCAGCATTAGCTTGAGCAAATTTTCCAGAAGATAAAAACTTAAATAAATCATGACCAGGAAAGTATTGTGAAACTAATTTAGGAGATTCAATAAACTTTGAAGATTGTGCTTCATCATGTAAAACTAATGTTCGAGATCCATCAGAATTTTTACTCCAATTGTCATCATCATCAGACTCATCTAAAGTTCTTAATGGTAATGAAAATTTTGCTCGTCTTTTTTTACGTTTTCTTAATGTACTGTAGTTATACATTTTACCATCATTTGATAATTGGTATTTATTTAGTTCAGAATTTTCTTTTACAAGCTGTTCATAATTTACAATTAATAATTCAGACTGAACATTTTCTGTATTAATTGATGAATTAGAATTTGATATATCAGATATTAATTCTGATACTGCGCCATGACTATATGATCGCCTTACATTGCATGATTTATCAAAATTGCTATTAATATTTGGGCAACTTTTATATTTTATTTTAGACGTATATGAATCTTTAATTAAAGGTTTAATTTCTTTAAGGTCACTAATATCATGAAGTATGGATAGAGATTTCTCCATTTTTAAGTCATTTGTTGGTTCTAAATGTCCAATATATTTGTTTTTATTTGATTTTGGTAATGTAGTACAATGTCCAGTCAATAATGAAGGGTTTAAATACTAAAAAATAATTTTATTTAAAAACAGTGAAATAAATTTAAATGTTTTTGTTGTATATAGGGTTATTCATTTAACACTAGGTACTCAGTTTTTCTTAAAATAATAAAAATATTATGGATTTTTTTTGACTTTTTTAAATTTTATATTGTTTTTGATTAATCAAAATTTTTAGTTTGGTTTTTTTAATTCATCCTTTATACCATATAAGGGTGTCTACTTTATTTTTTTATGGCAACAGACACATTTAATCCCAACTTCTTTAGGGTCGACCATCCTTATCCTAAACTTCCACTTGATCAATCATACCATGGTGATTAAAAGTTAATTAAATATGTATATTGTCATTTTAAAAATTAATTTGAGGTTCTTATAACAAAAAAGGGATGACTTTAAATAATAATTAATAATTGATAAGTTAAGAGGAATTTGAAACTCAAAAAAGTCAGTAAAAAATTGTTCAAAATTTTTATTATTTTAAGAGAAATTAAGTGAATAGCATTTAACGTATCACCTTGCTTATGAAGATACTTACTAATTTGGGATCAATTTCTAATAATAAAGATGGTTGATTCAATTCGACTGCTTTAAGACATAACAATGCTGCATCACTATACTTTTTTTGACATAAAAATGCTTCAGGCTTGTAAAATTTACTAATATGAGATTTGTCAGATAATAGCCAGCCTAATTTCTCAGATAAAGTATGGTTTTCAAGACTAAAATATTAAAAAAAATTATTTAATTTAAATTTTAAGTACATATAGAAAACTCAAATTTATTAGATAATTATACAAACAATATTAATAGAAAACTGTATTTGACATGAATTAGATGGTTTAAAAGTATAAAGCAAGCATTACTTTTTTTAAACTAGTAAAGTAGGCGAAACTAATATTACTCAGAGAATATATAATAGTAATTTAAAATAGAACATATTATAGAACTAAAAAGCTTTAATATAAAATTTAACTTTTAAATAAAATAAATTTAAAATTTGAAACTCTAAAATTTATCTTTAAAAAAATGAAGAATTTTTATTTTTATTTTTAATTGATAATATTGCACTATCAGTACAAGAGGGTCAATCTAAAAAAAAACATTATTTGTTTAAAAACTTCAAAATTCAAACCTTTTATAAAAGTTAAATTACATGTTACTTGATTTAAATATAATCCAATTTAATAAACAAATAGCTTAGATACTTAAAAAACAATAATAAACCATATTCAAATATACTAAAATATCAAACATCATAAATTTTGATGTATGACTTTTTTGCACTAAGAATGTGATATTTATTCATGTATTATATCTAGGGCAGATGAAAGTTGTGTTACTAGGGTGTGGGATACTTTGAGCTTCATATAAAAAACTTGTAAATAAATAAATAAATTATATTTACAAAGCATAATTAATTTAAGAAGACAAAAGTCTTAAAATAGCTATTAATGAAATATTAAACAATTTTATGTGTGTAACCTTTTGTAAATCCAAACTGATGATTTGTTTGTACAATCATCGATTTTAACAGAGTTTTTAAAGAACAAATTTGTTGTTTCTATCATAGGGTATAACCAATCTAAACCCTGAATAAACTGCCAAATACAATCATTTTCCTAAAACAAAATATATACATTAATGATATAATCTTACATATGATGTATTATTTCACAATATACCATTCCTACAAAAACAGGGCGAATTTGAATCAAATTTGTAGTTTAACAATATAATAAAAGTTAGCTATAATTAAACTTTTATATTTCAGTAGCCAATTGTGTTTGCTATTAAATAACCATTGTCTTGAATAACAGTATAAATAGTTACACAATTATTAGGTGACTAGACAGTGAAATAATGTATTTGAGATATTATTAAAAACATATTTTATAGATAATTAAAAAATTTTTTTTTTTTTTTGAGCTATTAAAAATTAAATTTATTTACTTACTTTGGTATTTGAAGATTTACATCCATGTTTAAATATACTTTTAATAATTGAATACAGACGATTGAGACCCCCACAAACCTCCCATGTATTAGATTGACCACACATTGACAAACATTCTACAGTTGATTTAAGGCTATCCAATAATTGAGGTACTTCTTCCATCTATTAACTTAAAATAATATTTGTATAATAAAAATAATTTGTATAAAATTCTAGAATAATATTAAAAAATAGAAAAATAACATTTTGACAAAATAATATGATACTTACACAAATGTTGTATTTAGATAGATTAAAAGTTTTAATTATAAAAATTAGAGAAAATTAGTAAATAAATGTTCAAATAAAAATTAACTAAAAAAATAAATTAATATAAAATAATTGATTTCACTTAAGATTTTATTCGAGTTTTCTTTTTATGTACAACTTTTAGAATATACATTTTATCAAAATTAATTATATTACTGACACCATATTTAACATTAAAAAAAAAATTCAATATTATATTATAAAATTAGGTACACATTTTAAAATATTTCTCAAATTATCACGTCCTCATTTAGTTCTCATGATAACGTTATCAGATAATATTTGAAAACGTTTTATTCGCTTCAAGGCGATCCACTTTGAATTTAAATTAAACGATCGTCTTTAAATAGCCGTCTGAGGTTACTCAAATCATTAATCATAAACAATAAATTTACAAACATTAATATTCAACTTCTAATTTATAAATCCCTTTTAAAACCCATATGGACTTACGGCCTTCAGTTATGGGACAATGCTAAAAAATCCAATACCAATAAAATTCAATGCTTTCAAAATATTTTCTTAAGAAAACTAATCAATGCACCTCCTTATATCTCTAATTATACACTCCATAACGACCTTAATTTAAAAACAGTCCATGAAGAAGCCATCTCCTACTATAAAAGATTCCACATTAAATTACTCTCCCACTCTAATCCCATAATAAAAAACTACTCAACCATGTCTATACCTGGACACCCACCCAAACGTTTAAAACGTAAGAGGTGACGTGATCTTCTTTCTAATAATATCAATTATTATTTATAAAATTAAATTATTGGTAGTATAAAATAAAAATTTTAAAAAATCATGGAAAGTATCACTAATGACTGGTTTCTTTTATCAAAATGTTTTCATGTAAATTATTCTACTCTTATCATATATGCTTATTGTGCTCATTGTTCAGATTGTATATTTTTAAAATAAAAAAAAAAAGATAATTTTCTAACTTCAATTTAATTAAATATACCATTGTGATAAATATACCATTATTTATCAAATGTTAAACATTGTTAATTAAAATCAAAAAATTGATTCTTATAAGAATTACAATGCCTCTTCTAAAAGGCATTTACTTAATATTTGGAGCCTTTTGTGCGACAGTTTGTTACGGATTAATAACTACCCTCTAAAAATAGAGAAAATTTTATTTGTTTTACTTAAATAATATATAGTAGCAGATTTCTTATTTTTTATACTCCGATTGCTACGCTCCTTTATCGTTAGATAGCGGCACCAGTTTATTTGAATTTCATGTCAAACTGGTTACGACACGACGCCACCGATACGACGTGCATACGAAGTGACGTCGTGCCGAAACGGTATCTTCCCGAGGCGAGCGCCGTCCTTTGCGATTCACTTTTGCCTCCCCTTATCTAGATCGTGGTGCAAACTCATGGTTTCCGTAGCGAGACGTACGTTCGAACAGACTTCCTTTCCGAAATCACTTGCTTCCGATCTCACTTCGCTTTTGCAGCCTCTTTGCTGGATCGCACGTGGATTTGAATTTGTTGGTTTTGGTATGGATGTGGGTTGGACTTCCTCTTCGAATCCATCTGTCCCCAATCCGTTTTTGCTTCCGGCAGCCTCTCAGCCTCAGTTTTTATTAAAAAAAAATGAATTTTAATCTGTCGACACGTGTCTAGTGGCATTTTTAATATGACGAATTTCCTATTGAGCGGCAGTAACTGATTACTCTCATCTTTCAACTACTCCTTCGCAAATGATCATTTTATAATTCAATAATTTATAAATTTTATAATTTATTATAGACACACTAGGGTACTATTTAGTAGTCGTTTATCTGAATTTGTAAAAACATTGTTGTTATTAAAAGGTGATGGGTGTGATGGAACGCGTGATTCCATCCAAATCGGCGGCATACACGGTACCTGAATCGACAGTTTTGTTAAGCGTTTTAAACGATACGTCTCTCATTTCACCCATAACTTGGTGTATGTACGTTGTGTACAGTACAATGTTGAATTTTATTACACCGTGCTTGGTAACGTCATTTAGTACGGTAGTTAAATCGTCACTCACGTATCGAATAAAATCGTCAATTGACGTTTCATTTTTCCAAAAATAATGTATCACTCGACCGCATAGCGCAGATTTTATAAGAACAAAGCCGGTCCCTGCAACGTGCATGCACGCGCTTTTGATCACCTTATCCGCAGGCGCTGACAAACATCGTTTCCCTGAAATAACAGTTTGACGGTGACCCTAATTCATTCTACAATGAATATTTAAACCAGTACTATCGACAAATGAAGACCCACAACCGCATAAAAATGACATGATACAACTATTGAAAAATTAATACATTAGTTAAACTTGTGTATACAAATAGAGGCCACTTCTATAATCAACTATTCAGTTCAATATACTTTTTCTATTGGAGTAAATACGACTGAACTGTTAACGGATTATATTATAAATGGTGTAGAAATTTAACTTGAATACATTAATAAGATTTATTTTTTTTTTTTTAAATCTACTTTAAAGTATGACTATTGTGATTTTTGTTTTTACTTTTTCTACCAATTTGAAAAACTATTAATCTAAAGTATAATTTACCATTGTTTATAAACTACTATCCCTCAGGGGGATGCCGAGTAATTAGAACTACGGGTTTGGCGAACCCGGGGCCCCGAGCTCTGAACTGACCTTAATTGGTTGGTTCAGCCTGGTCCTCCAGGTTGGGGGTTAAGCGCAGGACTAACAAACCTNTCGGGTTTGGCCCCGAGCTCTGAACTGACCTTAATTGGTTGGTTCAGCCTGGTCCTCCAGGTTGGGGGTTAAGCGCAGGACTAACAAACCTGCCTAGTGAAAACAATTTTGTTATGAAACCAACTACACATAAGCCTCGGACAAGAATACGTGGTTTTAAGACTGGTTTTTGGAAACGTAATGCGGATTTTAAGATTGTGACATGGAATGTGACAAGTTTATATAAAACGGGTGCAAGCCAAAATCTGGCTGATGTCTTGAACATCTACAACACTAAAATAGCAGCCATATAAGAAATAAGATGGTTGGGAGTGGGCCAATTAACAGTTGGAGAGTATACAATATTTTACTCTGGAATGGAGGATACACATAATTTTGGTAGCGGTTTTGCAATCCATAAGAAACTAAAACAAGATAAGAGGACTAATATAAATTTAGAATTACTTAAAGATGAAACCGTAAGGAAAGAATATGAGAATGAAGTCATGATGAATCTTAAAGAGAATATTGTACGTATGGACGTAAATTTGGATTGGGAAAAAGTGAGCAATGCTGTTAAAAAATCAGCGGCCAAAAATATTGGTGAGCTAAAAAGATCAAGAAACACTTGGTATAATGATGTTTGTAGAATTGCTGTAGATAAGCGTCGTAAGGCAAGAGATGACTTTATTAAGAACAACACTCAAATGACTAAAGAATGTTTCATACAGGAACGGAAAAATTGCAAAAGCACCTTTCAAAGGGAAAAATTTTTTAGTAACTTACTACAAACTGCAGAGAATGACCATACACAAGGTAGAACTAGAAACTTTTTTAAAGTCATTAAACAGTTTAAGCAATTCAACCCAATAAGGAATGCAATTAGAGACTAAGACGGTCAAATGTTAATGAGCCAGAGTCAAGAGCTGAGAGATGGAAAGGATATTTTGAAAAATTACTAAATAGTATGATGCCATACCAGCTAGTATTATATACCTAATATGAAAGAGAGGAGCTACACGTAGAGGATGTTAGTCTAGAAGAAGTGAAAATTGCAATATTGGAATAATATATAATATAAAATTGGAAAGTGACGGGTACCGATGACATCCCAGCAAAGCTCATAAAATACGGAGGTGAAGAGCTGCATGTAGTAATCTACAGATTGTGTCAACTAATATGGGTGATTCGCTTGTAGACACAGCTAACGTGGCCAGAGTGTTAGAAGAAGCAGCGAAGAAAATCGGTCTTGAAATAAATACTGAGAAAACAAAGATAATGGAACTCATTGAGAGTGGGGAGGACCCCAATGAGATGGAAGACTTAATCTATGAAAAGGTTAGCGATTTCAAATATTTGGGAGCAACGTTAAGCACAAAGAATGACTGGGCAAAGGAAATAAGTATTCGAATAAATAAAGTCCAAAAAGCCCTCTACGCACTGACAAAGTTCTTAACATCCAAAATGATGTCTAGGAAAACAAAAGCAAGACTGTATGTAGCTATTATTAGACCGACTCTTACATATGGTTGCAAAGCTTGAACGACGACCAAACAAATAGAGAAATCTGAGGACGTTCGAGAACAGTGTATGGAGGAAAATATGTGGACCTATTATCCATGAAACCACAGAGAAATGGCGGAGGAGACACAACAACGAGTTGAACGATATGTTAGAACTAGCACCAATAACAAGCTTTATTAAGGGCCAACGGATACAGTATTTAGATCATGTAATGAGAAGAAGAGAGGACGAAACAATTAGAGTAGCGTTGGAATGGAAACTACAAGGGAAATGACCTAGAGGAAGATCTAGGAAAAGATGGATTGACGTGGTGGAAGAAGATCTAAAAATCCTTGGTGTTGAGGATTGGAGAGAGGTAGTACAAGATAGAGACGGCAAAAACTCTTAGAGAGTAGACATGTTAGAAGAAGAAGAAGAATAATAATAATAAACTACAATTAGGTTTCATACTATCGGAGTAATAATGTAAACACAAATTGATTGTTAACAAACTATATAATTTTAATTCAAATTCATTTGTTGTACATAAATCATTAGACAAAAATATAAATAGATTTTGCTTATATATCATTGAAAATCAAAGTTAATACATTAAAAAATTTTTATTGAAAGTCAAATGAATATGCATTTCCTGTTTTTCCTCTGTAACAAAGTGACATTTTGGTGTCACCGTCATTGTACGTTGTAATTTCATCGTCCGTCAACTGTATTTTGGGGACAAAAACTTGTCGGTTGTTGGACAACCGTGTCACCACCACAACACCGTTTCTCGTTGGGAAATTTTTCATTGAAACCACTCGATAGGCATGATTCTCTATCAAACATTTTAATGTATTCCATGCCTTTGGCTTGATTATTCATTTTTTCATTCATTCAAGCCCTAACAACTTATAAACTGCGAGTTGTTTTTTTTTTTTTTAATAATACAGTTGTTTACCAATTATTTTTCATCATATATTGTAGAAATCATTGAGTATATGGCGGAGCGTATCACACTCTTACATGTTTACACAAGACGATATTCTTTAACCTTTACAACATAATTAATACTAACCCATTCACCATTTCTTTTTATGATACTGACTTGCTAAAAATGTTACAAACGACCTAATTGTAACTACATTGTTACCATTAAATTATTTAATAAAGAAATAAATAAATTTTTTTATAAGTTAGTTAAAACAAGTGCACACATACACACAAATATATTAATACAACATATTTACATATTTATTTAACTTTTTCAATATAATAATTTAAATATATTTACAAAACTATATATATGTAGTATTCTGTAATTGTCATGAAGGCGATAAGGCCTATCGATAAATAAAATCAGTGTGTGCTTGACCCTCCGCCGTGCTGGGCCGGAGCGTTAAGTGATCGATTGTTTTGTTAGTTTAATCGAATAATGTTTAATTGTCATATTAATTAATTATAATTATATTTACAAAAAATACTTTTAATGTGTAGTTGTATAATTTTTTGGTTATTAATATTTTACACTACATATACAACAATTAATCTACACTGTCTATATAAATATTTGTTCATCACAAAATTTAGACGAACAATGAGGTGGATAATGTAAAATTAAATAATACATAGAACAGAGGTTGAGAACAAACTCCTGAATCACCTTCTGTACAATTACAAGTTCTTGAATATTTGATAACTTTACAAAACAAGTGCCTGAACAGATAATCGGTTATTATTGCAGTTATATAGTAAAATTTGTATTTTTAGACACAATGAAGTTAATTATTTGGGATAAAAGTCCCTAAAAATTTAATATCTTACTAGTGGGGATCAATAAATTGCGTACATAGATTTTATTGTTTATTTCGCACAATATTGTAGATAGCAAAGTAAAACGTATAGAATATTTACTGGATATAAGGGTTTGAGTGTAAAAAAAAACGCGACTTTTTGTTAACATTCTTTTAAGTTAAAATATATATATATATATATATATGTATACACTAATTCGAACACAATAAAGCTGATAAAGTCACACGAGTCTGATTTTTTTTTTTTGTAGATTCGAACGCTTGTAAATACAAAAACCCTCTTAGATTTTGCAAATTATAAATGTAATAGTATAATACATATTTTACTAAATCGAAAATTGGTATTTTTATTTATTACCCACCGTACCTTTTATATAGTTTCATATAACACACAAGGTACAATATTAAAATTTTTTATTTATTTTTCAAACTAAAATAATATATAAGATTAACATTGATTGTATTATTTATATGAAAACCAAAATAACAAATAATTAATTCGTTGTGTACAGCTAGGAGACCAACGTACATGTTCTACCCATGGATCGTCTTCATCATCCCAATCTTTCAAACCTTGACTGCAGCAGTAACATAACATTTGATCAATTTATCTATTACCTAAAAATGATATACATTTATACATAGTGTATTTGATTAAATTAACGAATAATAAAAAATACATTCAATACTATATAGTCCCATACCTAAGTATAAAAATCCAGCATCACAAAGAGTTGATATTTTTGATTCCATTTTTTTTTTGGACGGTTTTCAAAAGTCTGTAAACGAGTGTTATAATTGTCAAATTCTTTGGGTTTAGGAAGTTTAATTCTAGGCTGCTGTTCATTAGACGTCGAACAGTAAAATCCACAAACATCATATCCTAAACGAGAAAAATAGAAAAGTAATTTAACGTAAAATTAGTCTCGATTGTCATATCATACTGTTTTTACTTCTTACCTGAATTTTCATTAAGACAATTTTCATACGCATTATAAGTATTATAAACTCTCTTAGATTTTGAAAAATGTATATATTACAAATTTTTGGTATAATTGGCGCTCTCTGGCGTGGTTAGTAAGCGTTATAAAATGGCAGTCGTTGCTTGTACCCGAATAGAAATTGTTTTAAAAGTAATGCTAACTTCATGGTCATGAAAGTCATTATCTACTGATTGTATTTATTATCAAGAACTACTGCGCATTTAATAGGTAGCTATATTATCTTTTTAAATAAAGATAACATAATTAATTTATCTTGAACGACATTTATCATAATAAGTTTTTTATTATCAACTTCTCATTTATTTTTTAAGTTTCTCGTTCTAAATTTCTAAATATTCCGTTTTTTATTTTCTTTAAATTACTTTTTTAAGTTTATTTTGTTTTTACCTTATTTATAATTTGATACTTAATTTTTAAGAATGCAGAACGTAATAAATAGTGTAAAAGGAACAGCTTTAGGAGTTGCAGAATACTTAACTCCCTTATTAAAGGTATTTAAAAAATTTGTAAAAGTTATAATTTTATTTTTTAGTATTATTATTTGTTCTTATTCAAATTTGATTTTGTAAAGTAAATATATAATTAATAAAATTAGTGAAATTTAAAAAGGATTAAAATGATAAGTATATAGTTGACATTTGGTTTCAAGGTCATCACAATAATATAATAATAATACATTTTGACACAATCTTTGATTTGAACAATATTAATAAAATTGTGTTATGAAGTTACAATATGTTAGTATAACGTAGAATTTCATATTAATGTCAAACTCCAATAAACTAATTGTACTTTAAATGTAGAGACCAAATATACTATAGAATTAGTACTCGACAAAATACAGATAATTAGAAAAACATATCCTATAACATAATATCTTAATGTTTTGATGTCTTTTTATATGACTACAAAAGAATAAAATGCATATGTGGTATACAATGGGTACGCAAGAAAAATTTTGCTATCATTTATATACAATTTGTAAATGACGTTTTTTTAAGGAAATAAATTTTGTGCATACTTGTATTTATATGTGTATGTGTGCAAATCACAATTATTGAAATACACATAAACAAAATAGTGTAAAATAGTATATGTACATGACATAAGTAAAATAAAACTCATTACTGGGTCAAAAACCAATGGATTTCAACAAAATATTCAATGTACCTTTAAAATTTCTCTGGGAAACCTTGAAAAAATTTCAGATTTTAAATCGAAAAATGCTGGTAGCTATGAGCATTTTTGCCAAATATTTAAAGCTCTAATATGTGTTAAAAAAATATTTCTTATCTTCACAAATAATTCTCCCAAAATAATGTTATTAAGTAATTTAAAAAATAAATATATTAAATAATTTTTTCAGTATTTTTTTTAATGTCTTTTTATATTTATATTCAGCATTTTATTTATGTATAGGAATCAAAATTTAAAGATACTGGTGTAGTGACACCTCAAGAATTTATTATAGCTGGTGATCATTTAGTTCATACTTGCCCAACTTGGGAATGGGCAAGTGGTGATGAGTGTAAAATAAAATCATATTTACCCAAAAATAAACAATATCTTATCACAAGAAATGTACCATGTTCACGACGATGTAAACAAGTGTGTTCTTATTTTATTTGAAATAAAATAAGTTATTTAAGTAGATTTTTAATTTTAGATTGAATACTGTGAAGTTCAAGAAAATATTGTTGAATCAGAAGATGGAAATGAAGGATGGGTGGAAACTGTTCATCTTGATTCTTTACCAATAAATGATACAATATCTCATCTAACATTAAAGGTAGGTGTGAAAAATAGTTACTCTAATGGTCTTTTATTTCCTATTTTTAATTATATTAGCTATATCATTATTATAATTAATGTATCTAATAATCATTTAAAATCATATTTTCATTTTCTTAAATAGTCAAATTTTATATTAATTGTATAAAACAGTAAAAAGATTATTTATAGGGAAAAAATGCAACATAGCATTAATCAAAGGTTCGTGTTTGATAAAAAGAAAAATAAACTACAAAATCTTTATTAATAAATAAGACAAAAAAAAAAAAATGTATAATTTAATAGTTTATCATTTTAAAATTAATATTGAAAAAATAATACTTTTCAAATGACCATATCAATATTTATGATGCAGTTTTTGCTACAAAATATAAATAGCTGATAATTTTATATAAATACTTAAATATCCATGAAATAAAAATGAGATCTAAATAAATTATAATATAAACTTTCTAAGTGCCCATGTTTTTAGTATCATATACAAAGTGATAAATTGTGTCCCATGCAATATCTTTAAAACTATACAAAAATACACATTTCTTTTTTGTTCAGAAATTATTACTGTCCTATACATTTTAATTAGCAAGAAAAAAAAATTTTCTTTCTCCTCTAAAGTACCCCTTAAAGTTGTACCAACTTACACTTTAAATAGTAACCTATATGTTTAACTGATTTAAAATAAAAAACAGTATGACATTGGTGCTGTGGCCATAGTGCAGACGTGGCATAGTTTTAGTGAACAAGTATAGATGATATCTGACAGTGATTAAAATCATTATCATAAGAAGAACGTTGATGCAAATCTGTTGATAATGTTTAATTTTAAGAAATTGGAGTATTATTCCAAAAGCAAAATGAACTCCTATTTTTTGTTCAACTTAAACTGCCATTTGCACATAGAAGATACCAAATGAAAGTAAATTAGTAAATAGTAGTAATCATAGTAAAATTAATACTTTCCCAGCTTCGCATCAAAACCTTAAAAATCAAAAGGGGTTTTGTAATAAAAAAATAAAACTCCAACTTAAGTTATATAATATATGAATATTATTTAAATATTAGGTTTACAATAATTTTGTTAGACAAATGATCACTAGACAAGTAATACACATTGAAACGGTAGAAGTTCAACTTACTTGAGTAACTATTTATACCGGTGACTTAATGGTCGATTATCAGTATAGTAACGATAAGCTGACCCTTTCATTACTTTTCTATCGTTATACACTATATTTGTGTATAACTACACATGACATTTTTACTTATATTTTGAAGATATTGTATGAGGTAAAGTTAGAGGATCACCCTTATAATATAAGGGTGATTCTGTAACACTAATTATAGTGTTATAATAATTTTAGTTTTGAGTCTTTTTTTAATTTTAATAATACTTTCATTAGGATGATCAAAACATTGAAAATGAAATTTCCCCAAAAAGTGTATACAATGAAATAAATAAAAATTTTAATTTAATTAATAATCCTGGTGATGACGATGATGAAGATGATGGAGAAGCTATTGATATGGATCAATTTGTTGAAAGTGGTATGTTAGAAGATGATTCAGTAAGTGATTTATTTGTTGAAATATTTTGTGTTTTGAAAAAAAATGTTTATTTCTTTTATAGGCTGTTGTATACCCAATAAATAAAATTGTAGAAAAAAATGAGGCTAGTTTACAATCTGAAGAAATAGTAAAAACTCGAACATATGATTTGCATATTACCTATGATAAATTTTATCAAACTCCAAGGCTATGGCTGTATGGATATAATGAAGTAAGTGATTGCATTACATATTTACAGTATTATAATAATTATTATTTTAGTTATCAATATAATTTTAATTTTTAGTAGTATAAATGTTTTTATTAAAACTAATCATTTCCTAAAAAAATATTATAGACTATTAAATAGGGAAAAATAGTGTTAAAACTAACTTTCGTTAGTGTTAACAAAAGCTTTTTAAGTTTGCTGTTAAATAATTAAAAAACTTTTAAAAAATTAAAAAATTTTCATCTCCATTTGACCTTGAAAAACTTTAAAAACCAAAAATATCAAAAATGGGACTTGGGATCAAAACAATCACCATTAGATAATATATTTTAAGAGTTTTAAAACCTTCTTTAATTTACTGAGATAAAGTCATTTTATTAAAAAAAAACAAGTATTGTTTTTTATCTGTATTTGTATGTAATAAAAGAAATTTTTTTTTTAACTTCAATAAAAATTTTACAACTGACTATGTAACTAGTTTAAAAATAATTTTTGAAAATATCAATTATTCAGTTTAACAAAATCTATCAAACCCAAAGTAAAATCGAAACATGTTTTTCTTTTAAAATAAAATTCCTAAATTTTTTTTCAATTTAATTTATGCAAAAATTTTTTTTCTGTTTGTTTAGAATCAAATACCACTAAATGTTGAACAAATGTATGAAGATGTAAACCAAGATTATGCAAAGAAAACAGTAACCATGGAATCTCACCCTCATTTTTCGGGTCCTCCAATGGCTTCTATACATCCATGCAAGTATGTAATAATTAATTAAAGTAGTTTGAAGTGGGGTAATTGTAAACAAGTTTTAAATATTGAACTCAATAAACAAAAGTCATTTTAGTTTTATGATAAAATACAAATTTATTTTCATTCCTAAAATATATTGTTAAATTTTAAGTTTATTGTAAAAATATTATGAAATCAAAAATTAATTATAAAAAAATGATCTGACAACTTTTATTAATTAGAAGGTTTTAATTTCAATTCTTTGATAGATCTATGAAATATATTTTTTCATAAATTTGAAGATTTATTGACAAATACTATATAAATTATTTTTAATAGTCTTTTAACCTCGTTTACAATTACTCTTAATAAATATCATACTGGGGTAATTTTTATATATTTAAGTAGGATTATTGGAAATAATCAAATTACATATTCATGACCATTGTTTTATTATTTTAGTCTAATAGATCTTTTTGAAAGTTAAAAAATAAAATTTATAGATCAACAGAGTCAAGAGTTATTTACTGTTACCTTATGTCTTCCTATCTATTTTATAAGAATTTCTAAATATTTAATTATTTAAAAATTATACAGTTAAAAAAAAAATTTAATTTTTAATATTTTTATTTTAATTATATTTTACAGACATGCTGAAATAATGAAAAAACTGATTCTGACTGTAACAGAAGGTGGAAAAGATTTAGGTGTTCATTTATATTTAATTATATTTTTAAAATTTGTGCAGTCTGTTATACCAACAATAGATTATGATTATACTCAAAATATTAATTTATGACCATATTTTCATTAGTAAAATAAAGTACTACGTTTTTTTTTTGTATTTTAATACAATAAATAATATAATAATGTCAAATATTATAATTTACAATATTATAGTTCTCTATAAAGTGACTTAGTTTAGTAGACTTAGATATTTAAACCTTTACACAAATATTTTAATTAAAATATATTCTAAGAAAATTTGAATTGTTAACATGTTAAAACTTGCCTCTAACAACCCAAATCTAATATTTCCCCATGGGATATAAATCAATTTTGTAATATAGATATGACTACACTTAGAAAAAAAATTACATTCAGCTACATTATAGTTAAGTAATAGAAAAGGACTTTTTCTCTCATATCCAAATCTATACAAATGCGACAAAATTACCCTAGGGTGTGAGCCTAGCAATCATTAAAGATAACAGCACTCTAAATTCTAACGTTCTAGCAATGAATGCATTTTTTCAGTAGCACTTGTAGTAATTGAATTATTAATTATTATAGGATTGGAAATAAAAGATGATAATAACTTTATCATCATCTGTGATTAGCTAAGCTTAATTAACAATCTCTATTCTCAAAACTTACTTGTTCAACATACCTGAGGGTTGTAGCTCATTAAAAAAAAAAAAAAAATTGGAACACAAAAAATTAACTAAAAAAAAAACTAAACAATAAATTAAAAATCATCAAAAACACACACAATAATCCAAACGTAAAATAGACACTAATCTGATACAAATACTAATAGATCATAGCAAAGTTACCTATTCATATATTCTGAACTAAGATACCCAGCTAATAAGTAAAAACTGCAAACCTATTATCTTTATTTTTTATATCATTCAAGATTGCAGCAAATACACCATCCAAAGAAGCTTATACCAAATTCCACCTGTATAAAAAACAGCCTTTGAAGAAACAAATGAAAATAACTTCATACATATAAAGTAGATTCCTTGATCTTATGTAATTATCACCTTGTACCATAAAATGTAATTAATCATATAAATTCTGTTAAATTTAAAAAGTTTCTTTCTTTTTTTTTTGGATTACATAATATTCAGTTAAGAATTTTTCGGAGAAGGGGAGCTGAAGAAAATATTTTTATTATCGTATAGTAAAGATTACTTTTGATAATATTTATACTCACCAACGTGTTGGACTCCTTAGTAATTGATAAAATTTAAAACTAAGATTCGAAGGTTTCATAATTCTTGATAAATACTAAAAAAAAATTTATAATTTTCTATATCATTTGTTTTATGTTTAAAACATAAATTTAAACTGTATGTTAAATTAAAATAAATTTAGATAGGTCGTTTATTCTACTTGAATGAATGTCAGAAAATAAAGAAACGCATTTTTTATAATAGTAGTATATCAAAAAGTTTTAATAAAATACTTTTACAAAAACTGTCTTAAAAATGATTTTTCTATGTACGTCATGTGTGAAGTATAGACCAATTTTTAATACAATTATAACAATCAAAATATAACTAAAAAAACACTTAGCCAATTAAATTATTTTAAATCATCTATACTTAAAATACTATTTAATAATTATATGATTTTAGATAGAGTTAATAAATTTAGTATGGATGATTGGGGGTATGGATGCTGGGGTTGAAGTCGCTAGCACTCCATTGACTGTAAGTTGGTTGGTATCCATAATAAGGAGGGGGTGGCAAATATTGAGCGCATGGGACTGAATATATCTTTGTTTCGTACTCCGGTCCATATTCAAGTATGGCTTGTAAATGTCTTATGTACCGAATAGCCATTCTAAAAATATAAAATCATAAATTTTGTTGCATAAGCTTTTAAACTATTAATTAGATACAAATAGAAAACTAGTATTACTCTAACCTCAAAGATTCGATTTTTGATAGTTTTTTACCAGGTGGTTTGCTTTTAGGCAACCGATTTCGTAGCAAATCAAACGCTTTATTCATATCACGCATCCTAGTTCTTTCTCTGTCACAGGCAGATTTTTTATAATCTGTAAATTAGTAATTATTTTTGCAATTAATAATGCAACAAAATATGTTATTAAAATATCCCCCCCCTCAAAAATAAAAAACTGACATAGTTATAATGGTATGGGTAAATGCCTCCACTTAATAAGTAGTTAATTGCTTATTGTTAATAAAGCTTATTGGTAATTTCTAAATTATTCCCCCTGAAAATAAATCTTAGTTGAGCCTCAAAACATAACATTGATGAGGCTATATTTGAAATTGTCTAAACCCAACATATTTTCGTCTGATGAAAAATTATTTACCCTTTTTTAATTTTATTTAATAAAAATGATGGTATTCTGTGCATTTATTTACTAAGGCGGTTTTGTTCTTTAGCAGTAAATATTATCGTTTAATTAAAAATTAATTGAATTCCTCAAATATTATAGCTATAATAGAAACTACAACATAAGTTATTGTTTAAACAATTTTTCTTACCACATATTCGTACTATAAAAATGTACAAAAATTTTACCTTAAACTAAAGTTCGTAGTAATTTATGCCAATAGAAATCAAACATTGTACCACATAAATCATTATAGTTATTAAAATGGTTCATGCAGTTAAATATTGAGAGGAAACATTGTTTTACGATTGAAAAACAAACCTCACTTCCTAATAACAAATAAAAATCCAATACCTCTTTCAGATTCGTAAGAACGCGATCTAGTACAGGGTTTGCTTTCAGAGTTCACATAAGTAAGAGTCGAAGTCTGTGTAGGTGGTGGCGGTGGCGGTGGTGGCAAAACATACTGTGGCTGTTCGTCGGGGTTATGGTACAACACAGTAGCCGAATGTAAGCCACCCGTCTCGATGATTTGCTGTTGTGGCTGAAATTCGTACGTAATCACTGGCAGTACGACGTTGTTGATATTGCACACAGACGAGGAGTCCGACGAGCACGTGGCTTCTTGATCGTAGTGTGATGGATCATTGCGCGGCTTGTTCATAAATACTATTCTGGTGACGTTCTCCTACGGATCATCGAAAATCATTGCATTGTGAAAATAGTTTTTAAAGATCAGTAATCTTAAAGTTTTAAGTATTTAGGATCAGTTGTGCAAAAGAGCGGTGGTATTGACGAGGATGTAAGACACAGGATTAAGTGCGGGTGGTTGAAGTGGAGAGAAGCGTCTGATGTCTTATGCGATAAAAGAATTCCAATGAGGCTGAAAGGTAAAGTCTACAAGACTGTTGTAAGACCAGCTGAGTGATGCATATGATGCATAGTTTCAGAGTGTTGCCCAGTTGACAAGAGAATAGGCCAGAGAATGAGTGTAGCAGAGATGAGAATGCTTAGATGGATGAGTGGAGTGACTAGAGAAGATAAGATAAGAAATAAGCATATAAGAGGTAAACTTAGATGGTTTGGTCATGTTATAAGAAGAGAAGAATCGGAAGCTGTAAGAACAGTTATAGAATGAATGTTAAAGAAATAAGAGGTATAGGAAGACCGAAAAAAGATATTATTGAATGCGATATGAGGACATCTGATGTGAGCGTAGAGGATGTGGGAGATCGTGTCAAGTGGAAGTTTAGGCTAAGGGTGGCCGACCCTAAGTAGTTGGGATTAAGACGAGGAAGAAGAAGAAAGATCAGCAACGATTATTTTTTGCGTGTCCTCATCAGAAAAACACCGTGAGAAAACCTCTGAACGCGATAAACACTTGTTTATAGTACTGTTAGGATTTACATTTAAATGTACGCGCTAATAGTAGTGAATCTATAAATCTATGTAGTTGTTATTATGCGATAAAAAATTAGTTGACCGTTTTCTTAGAAATTACCTTTACAATATACTGTGTTGTATTCACGATATTATTAAAAAAGGCTTTTACAAAATGTTTACCATTTTCTACTTCAATAACATAGCTAAAGTTGAGTAATATTTATGAGTTGATCATATATTTTATTATTACGACCATTTAGGATTATGAAAATTTCAAAAATTAATCTTCCTTTAAACAGTGACACAACCAGCGGGAAATATAACCCAGTGATATTTTGGGACCACCGAGAATATATTTTGCTACAATTACAATATTTAAACTGAAAAAAGTCATAAAAAAATATAAAACGGCAGCTTTTAACTTGAAAGGGCCTTAATATATCAATAAAACCACTTGGGTGGTCATATGTTGCAAAAGAGGAATTTTTTTTATAATAATTAAAAGTACATTTGAATATGAAAAAAATAAGTCCTACAAAGTTCGGGCAAGATTGATTTATTTCACACGTTAGAGATAATAATAATTCGGATAAATGAGTTCTTATTTAGTATTTTGTATTTATCTTGAAAAATATCGTTTTTACACTATAGGAAATGATCCAAAAATTCCCATACATGTCAATACATCCTTAATATACATGTTTATTTTACGCGGAAGTAGTGCAATTTTAATATAAATTTTCTAAAATTCGTACACAAATATAATATTTTTTATCACTATTTCTCAACATTTTCCCTTACGTTATATGCGTTAAAAACTTTCGGTACAAGTATGTAAGAATTTGGACATTTTTATTTAAAAGTGTATGTTAAAATTGAATATAAATTAATTTTTTCTTTAAAATTTTCTACAAAAAAGGTAACAAGGGTAGAAAATTCAATATTTTTTTATTAAAAAAAAAAAAAAATTCATTTTTTTTTACGATTTTACATACATACATTTTGGTATTACCAAAGTAAAATGTATCATACCACTTTATATAATTTGTTAAATAAAACTTACAATAGTTTTATATATTTGTATATTAATAGTTGTTATTACTTACAATTTTTACAATACGTTAAAACAAATAAATTCAATAAGTCAAGACTTAAGCCTTAATAAGAAAAAATGTAAATTTATAATAATAAAATCGATACACAAATGACATTCATAATATATGAATATAAGTCATTAATATAAATTATACATTAATATAAATAACATCTATTTATATAAAACAAATATAGAATTTTTAACGACATAAAATTATCACTACTAGTATCTAGTTAAAGATATTACCCTCAAAAATTTAAAAAAATTCCCCTTTATCAAATAAAAAGTTACTAAACCAACTTTCTCCATACGGATAATTAGAATAATTAATTTCTAATGTTTTTAAAGTGTATATTGATGAATTAGATTTTAAATAACAAGTTTCAACTTCAAAGTTGAATAATATTATTTATAAATTTTTCAACTCTATTTGTGTGTGTATCTATAATTTTCCAAATTTTTTGGAAACATGTTACTGTATAAACCAATTCTAAAAAAAATGATTTTGAGTATCACATAAATTTAACAATAGGGTTTTCAATTACAATCAATTCTTATAATATGCTATATTAAGTAGATTATTTAACAACTTTTTGATTATTTTAGTTTGAATGCGAAACTAAGAAGTTATTGGTCTAGTGATTCTATGCGTTTTTTTTTATAAAAAATCTCAGCTTTCACTGGACTAATTTTGATGATCAAAACGCCAAATTAACCGATTTTAATATAATTATACTAATAGTTATCAAATATTGGGAAAAATCCCTTAATTTTAGAAATTTAGACAAATATAAATATAATAAATAAAAAATTTCATGAAGATTTAAAAAATGGTTTTGTTTAAATTGATATAGGGTCAGGAACTTATATAATTACTATTAACGTAAATTTATTAAAAGCCCAAAATTTAGTTGAAATCACTTATTATATTTTTTGTATTTGTATCGTAATAAATAATTTCAATAGAAATACTATTCATTTCTATGTAACTCATGGCGTTTAAATAGACGTTATAATCGAAATATTTAAAACTATATTCCGTGTAGTTATATTCTATAGTTTTTAACTAATTAGTAATATTATCAAAAATTAGTGGCGATGGAAAAAATCTAACTACAGATTTGAAATTAGTGCGAAAAATTGATCAATAAAAAGATATTTTTGACTCCGATGAAAATTCCTTGTAAACCAATTATTCATAATTAACTACAAATTATTTTCTGAAAAGTTTCGTATCAAGCCCTTTAATTTTTATACTCGTTTGCCATAAAAGTAATATCTATGTTATAATTTTAAATAAATTCTCCAATAAAATTACATTACTAAATGATTTATTTCATACCATATTTAATGGCTATAATAAATATTTATTCATATATTATACTTCAAAATCAAAGAACTACTTATCAGGAAATAATTCAGGAGATAGGAGTTGATGTTGCTTTTGTAATTATTCACCAATTTCTTAAAATTAAAAACTATCTACAGATTTGCATAGAAGTGTTTCTTATAATAGTGATTTTAATCACTGTGGGATATCATCAATACTTGTTCCATCTATTCGACGACCCCACTGTACTCTTTTTTACTATATTAACTTTTTTTTGTTAATATAGTCTGATGGTGGTCATAGTGTACTATTAATTTGCTTAATGGTATTTTCTATTATTTTTCAGTGTAAAATGTAATGACGCAGAGTGAGTCTAATTAGATTGGCTCCAAACATAAGTCTTTAGTAGATTTTTCCTCATTTTTATGTCATTATTTCTAGATATAATCATTTTTTTTTATTTTAGCTAATTGTAGGCTAAATGTGTATTTAGCGTGGTTTATTCTTCTTATTACCCTCCTAGTTTAATTTACGAAACACATACAATTATAATGTAAGTTATTTCATTAAAAAAAAGTTAAAATCATTAAACTGTTTTCCTGTAACATACCAAATATTTTATTAAAAATAATACTCTTGATATTTTTGTTGAAAAACGATTTTTTTTTATAAAAATGTACTGAATAAAGTTTTATTTATTTATAAATATAAGTTATCTATAAAGAAAACTTCCAAAATAACTATGTTTACTGTTAGATAAATATTTATTTTTAGGGAGACAGAAATTTGAAAAGGCCTTCTTAAATTATTTTTGAAATTGCGCCTATATGACGTGCTTTTGTATTATTAAATATTTATTTATTAAGAACTCCATAGATAAAATATTCAACTTTTTTCGTCTTCTATTCTTTAATATTTTTTTAACAAAATTAGCGAATTTCTTTTTAATTTAAATCTGACAATATTTTAACTTGTTAATCAATTTATATATGGCTTAGTACTTGATATATTTAGCATCTAGGTGACTGTTTAATTGAGTTTTTTAATTTTTTGTTAACTCATAACAATTTGTTTAGATATCTATTATCAAATTGGGAAGTAATAGACAAAAAAAAATGTCAAAAGTCCTGAAAATATTTTCTAATTTAAATAGGACTTATTTTGAATAGCACATATTATTTTTGTTGTGGACATTAAAAACTTTTATAGATATATTAAAATTGTTTTTGGTAGAAATAATAAGCCAAGGGTTCTTCATAACCTCAAAAAATGTGCTAAAGAACCAAGTAATTACTGAACTATATCAACAGGGTAATTTCTATACTAATACCATTGCCCTAACCTAGTATAGTATTAGTACTGAAGTATTGTGTGGTCATATTACTATATTATGCCAAAAGTACTCTCAGCGTCAGGTCAGTTTAAATGATGTTAGGCTTTTTACAGGTTAAAGCATTACGCACAGTAGATTTAGATAACTAATTTTCCTGTCTTACTTCCTAATGAATAACTTGGTTCTCAAGCACATTTTTTAAGGTTATGAAAAACCATGACGTCATGACGTCAAACAAACCTCAGATTCGGATTCAGCGACCCCACAAACATAAAGTAAAAATGGTCTGTTTACTAGCGCTTTTCGTTCAATTTCTTTTTGTGGAGCTGTGTTATTTTCACTATAATTAGGGAAATTGCATTGAAAAAAGAAACAAATTTATAGTGATATTAGATTTATAACTTTCTACTCAATAGATAATATGGCTTATTATTACACGAATAAAAATTATTTTGAGAAAAGTCGAATTACAACTTATAGAATTAACTAACTAGTTAATTAAGGTAAACTATTACTTTTGTATAGTTAAATGAAATGAAAGCGAAGCTTTTTTCAAGATAATTTAATTAAAATAAATTAAGAGTTCATTTAGTGGTCAATGGAATAGAATAAGAGCTAAATTATCTTAAATTAAAATAATTGTGTTGAAGATATATTAATTATTTATCTATTTGGAGTAATAAACACTTTTTTTACGTATTAAATGCACTACTATCAATATTCAAATATTTAATATTATTCAGATATATTAAGATTCATGGATGGTAATGCTATTTTTCTATTTTATAAATATTTTTATTATTTATTTAATTTTTTTATCTCTTGAAATTTACACAATTTATTATCAAAAAACAAACATTTTACTTTTATATTTTTTGAAGCATTATCACCAGTGATGCAAAAACTGGGGGTATGTAGTAAATGAAATCATTTTTTTGAGTATACTGGGACGTTTAAGTATTCAGCTTTCGATTAACCACAATTGTTAATTCGATTATATAGCTATTTATCAACTGCCATCATGAATACAGTCATTATACATTATATTATTATAATTCTATATATATTAATGTGATTATATGGGTGGTATGAGGTCTTTGTAAGTCTTACAAAATTTTAGCACCTCTTGGAGTTTTGCCCTAGTTGATTGTCAATAAAAAAAAATTAGTTCTCAGTTTCACATCTTTAAACAAACATATATATGCATATATATCTAACATAGTAAAAATAAAACAACATTTTTACAAAAAGTGGCACAATTAATTTTGCAATTAAAAAATAATTTATTGATCATTTATTTTGAAATTTTAACTTAAATCATTATTATAGAGACATTAAATATCATTAAAAAGCATAGGAAAAATAATCGTCAAAACAAATCTGCCGTAGGCGAAGATAAATGAATTTATAGTTTTAATAGATAACAGTAAAATATGAAAATGCTATACCTTCTTCTTAAATATAAATTATAAATAAGTTTTTTAAAGATTAAAATATTTTAAAGAATTTATAGGTACCTTAGAAGACATAGAACTATCTACAATTTATAATCTTATAAAATTGAAAGATATTCCTCACTATTTCCACGGTTTATGATAATACCTACTTAATTTTGATATTTGCTATTAAATACCGCGGTGAAAGAGTTTTGGGTACAACATATTACTGACAATTTTTCTTATAATGTTTTCAATAATACATAAATTATAACAAATATTGTCATTAATTAGAATTAATAATTAATGAAAAAATACTTTATAGCACTGTTATTGATTACGTATCCTGATTAGTGATATAACTATTTATCATATCTATATGACATTCTTACATTTCTATCAATTTGCCTGCAAGTAAATACCTAGTACTATTTTTACACTAAGAAACACTATAAACATGTTTAGAAATGAATGCGATTGAGATTTTGTACTTGTAAATAAAGCTCTTTAACGTACAAATATAATATTTATTTATTATTTTAAAAATGCGTTACGGTTAATCTAATTTTATAAAAAATTATGAGTCTTAATTTTTTTACTAAACATACAATATTGTTATATTACCGAAATATCATTATGTACTTAACATTATGTGTTCAAACTCACTTGGACCACCGGCTTTTCGTCTTCGTTTATAATAGGTGTTTCTTCGCTCATTTTATTTGAGAATATATACTAAAGTATATCATGAATAGATAATTGATTATATTAAAAACGAATCCAGTTAAAGTCGAGTTCCTATTAAATTTTACTAGTTTTGTAATTTATTATTGACTAGAAACTTATAGTTTCACGTTTTAAATAGTAATAATTAATTGATCGAAAACTATAATACTACCACGACAACGATCTGACGAGTACTTCTGTTCTAGGGAAATATTAGTGCACAGAAGCGTAGAATAAATGTATCGTTTAAGTATAATGAATACTCAAATCAACACTTGTACAAATAATTTTTTTCAAAATATGTATCGTTTCCCTTCGCCACCTCTACCTGTTTCATGGCACGCACCAACCACCGTGAAGCTCAACAACTGTGTTAACACGTGTCACCTTATTGTCACCTAAGTATTAGTTATTGTCTCATCGTTGATACGATTGCTTATTTTTTTTTTGTTTCGCATAAACTGAATTTGAGAAAAAATAATAAATGAAAATAATTAAAAGGCTCATAGTGCAAGTCCACCGAAGTATAACGTGGTTGTTCCCCTCTTAAACAACAATAATTGTACGATATTGCGTTGTAATTAATGTAGGAAGTTTGACTGTTATTATAATTATAAATTGTGTTTATAGTAGAACAAATTATAAAAGAGATACTAAAGGTTCTAAAATTGATAGGCACTTGTATAGCCGAGTATTCGACGGTTGTTGTCCGAATAATATTTCGTAATACAATTGTACATCTAATTTATATAAACATAATTTATATTTACTTATATCATATATCACCTATTATCATTTCGTAAACGCACATTTAATTTATTAATTATAAACCCGAACATTCATAATTACGATATTGTTTATATTTTTAAACAGCTTTAGGTATAGTAGTAATAATGGTCTATTTTTAGATAATAATATCGCTACATCTAAAATATTAACATAAATATGTAATAAAAATTGATCTCTCGTGGCTAATGTGACTTATGATTAATTTATATTTACATATTTTTTAATACATTAATAATGTTAGTTTAAAACTAAAATGTATAAAATGTATTCAACTTAAAAAGCCACAAAAATTATTAAAAATCGTGGAGACGTATTTAGGGAATAATGTTTACCATTATCAACGATAAACACACACAGACTATGCGTTAATACGTATTCGCGATTTTTGATAATTTTTGTGGCTTTTTCAGTTGGATACTTTTATATTTTTTAGTTTTAAATTATATTGGCCACAAGTGATAAATTTTTATTATACATATATGTCAATAGTTTAGATACATAAGGAAGGGATGGATGGTAAGTACACAACCCATATTCTGGGGGTTTTTTTTTAAATTTAAATAGATTTTTCAACTCTTAACTCAGTTTTAGTTTTAGTGGTACAAAGGCGTATTATAGGACTCTATTTTAAGCTGTAAGTTTTAAACTGAGAGTAATTATCTCGCTTTCAGCTAAGTGTAGTTAAATTATCATTAGTATCATTATTAATGCCATAATAGTAGGCATTACTATTATGCTTATGTATTGCAGATTCAATATTTTTTATAGATGAAATCGGCATCAGTAACTATCTAGACTTTATAGTCAATAAATTCAACAATTCACAAACTTTTGATGTTCAAAATAGATAATTCAGAATTGTCGCAATATGAAAACACAGATGTAATTGATCTATGTATTTTATATAAATTAAACTTAAAATTCTATTTTTGACAGGCCAATTCAAATCGATTTCAAAAATATCTGGCTAGTTCAATACAATTTCAATATCGAAATTTTACCAAAAAATTGCCGATATTGAAATTATATCGATATTTAATAATCGTTTAATTATTGTTATTAGATTATTATATCTAGTTTATTTAACTGATCGGCATCGATTTTCTTTAAAAATTAGATCGACTCAAATTACTACCCTTTAAATGACATCGCTGTTTTTACTTAAGATAGTAATTCAGAAATGTTTAATTTTTTACGCAATCCATCAAAACTCTATTACCATTGAAAAAAATAATTGGGCGTAATGGTATAATATTCATAATTTAGACAATTTATAATCAGTAGCCAAATTCTTGTAAAAAATTGTTCGTTTTTTCCTTATTGTAGTTTTTATTTAAGATACTTCAATGATGAACACACAAGATTTTTACTTGCGTAATGACTCATATGGTTCAAATTAAAGACCGTTTCTACTATATTTTGTTAATAACCAGATTTTTGTACGTCAAAGTCAAAGTCAAAGTCGTATTGTTATATAACAATTAATTACTAGAGATAGAATAAAAAAAAATATTTTTTTAAATGATTATAACCGTACTAAGATCTGAAAGTCCAAATTTATTTTTAAAGATAGTTGTGAAGTAATATATATTTTTTAAACTTATTAAAATGGTCATCAATATCTATAATTAATGACATTTATAATAGTGTTTTCTCGTAGCAATGGCTTATTAATAAGAGTATTTTGTAGATTAAACTTCCCATTCAGTGGTCGATAGGGGTGTCATAACCAGCCCCTCCTCAATGGATGTAATATCGTCGCCATGATTTTAATTGTATAAATTGTGAGCATTATTCAAAGAAGCTGCCAAGGATAGTGATATTTTTACGAAATCAACATAAGAAAATGTTAAGAATAACGTTTTTATTATGTCAATTAAAGCGAATATTTTTTTCAAAAGGTAAATAAAAAATGATAAACAAAAAATAAAACACCGAAAATATGTGATATCAATAAACGTAAAATACTGTTAAACGTAACACAATTGTTACTAAAACAAAAATTAATTCTTTTCAAAAGTTATGTAATAAAAAAAATTCGTGTAAAAAAGTATAGTGTTAATAACACCTTATGACAATGAATAATGTTTCAAACTCGTTTAACGCTAAACGTAAAAATGTAGTAACGTTAAAATATTAATCGAAAAATATTGAACAACGTTTGATTATTTATTGACGTGTATGAGGTACACTACAATTTAACTTAAAACTAAATAATTTCATAAAATTCTTTAAAAAGGCGGTTAATCTTGGATCAAAACGATATCGACCATATGACAATGCGCTTCAACGGTCAAGATCACGATGTTAAATTAAATTAAAATTTCTTAATAAGAAAACAAACTATTTTAGCTAAGGCTTAAAGTAAACAAAATACGCAAGAGTAGCTCACATCATTGTATTGTTTTGAACGTGCCACGTGTCAATAGTTTTCTGGGAAGGGGAAGGATTATAAATATGGACTCCCTCTTTAAACGTAAATAGACCATAGGTGGTCAAATTTTAGGAGGGGGCTAAATTTATCCAACGTATATTGTAAACGTGCCAATTTTTCGAGTGGGTAGGGAAAAGAAGCTTTTAAAAAAACATATTTTTAGATTACTTCATAATTTAAAAGACAAATTATGATTTATAACCATTTTAAATGCACTGCTTAAAGTATCCAGTTTTTCCTTTTCAGAATTTTAGTATTTAAAATAATTATAATGATAATAATAACAACCGATTACCTGATTAACGATTACTATTTTAATGGTTAAAAAGTTAATAATAGATACACATTTTGTACAACCGATAGCCGCTATTACTTTTGCATAATATTATAGTTGGTTAAATTAAAAATATATATTTCGTCTAATATCACTACTTATTAGTTATTTTGATGAAAAATTACTTTTTTTCCTATTTGTAATGCAAGTGCGTTCAGAATTACGTAATAATAAATGATCTTTTAAGTAATTTATCATAGTGTTTAAAGTTGTCTTTTACTTAAAAATAATTGAAGCTTAAACCAATTATAAGACATTGAATGAAAAATATAAAGCCAATAACTGTTAAAAAACCAGTGACGTCTTTCTAATAGTTAACATTGTAATAACAGTTTCCTATATAATTATTTGACGATTTACATTAATAAAAACAATAGTCTGTTGAAAACTATGATAGTTTTTAACTACAATTTTTATATCTGTATAATTTAGACGGAACTAAATAACTTAGTTTTAATCATTATAAATATTTTTAATTATATAGGTATGACAAACTGTCTAATTATGTTTTCTATTGGACGTGTTTTTTTATCTCTACGAGGTTAGATTTAAGTAGTTACAAAATCTTCGTTCTTTATAGCCATTAATAATACATCTTATACTAATTTTTTTGTCATAAAGCATTAAATTAAACTAATAGCGATAATAATGGAATCCTTAAAATTATAAAAAAAGGTACACTAATACATCCTTGAGCTGACATCATAACGTTTAAACACACATTTTAAAATTAACTGTTTCATTTATACTAATTTAATATGTTTTACGACTAATGCTTACAATTACACAATAAACGTTTTAATGAATTATTAATTGCAAATGACATACGTTGTATTAACTAGTTACAGTTGACAGTTAAGAAAAGCGTAAACTTTAACCAGTTATAATTTTTTTCAAACATTTTCATTAAAAATCGCCTATGTAAAGATATAAATAATTATATCTTCTGCGACCGCCCAACCTTTCAGAAGGATGCCCTTTCAATAAATATTTTTTTAAAGTAAATAACATTATTTAAGTAATTAATAAATGAAAATCATTGCTCTAAAATGCTTTGATGTGCGTTTTAAACAAATTAAATAATTTACCATTTTATACTTAAAATTGTATGATTTTTGGCTTTAGCCCTCAATAACACGTAAATATTGAGATTTCAGATAGTTTTTCTTTTTTAATTTCAAAGTACATTGTATTTTCTTTAATTTGGTGAAGGTTTAAAACAGGAGTTAGTGTAGTCACCAAATTTGTAATCGTGACAAAATTAACAACTTTGGGTACATGCTGAAACCTATTTTAATGGGTTATACTCCAATAGGTATTTGCTGAAAATTGCTTAAACGGGTAAGTATCTAAGTAATATTGTAACTGTTACACACATTATGTGTACGTAACCAATGTTGGAAAACGGTCGGTAAACATTGTGGTTACTCCAAACCGCTGTATGTTGTGATTTTACTACACTGTAGGGTTGAATTTATGATATCAAAACGCATTGTTTTACATGAACGATAACACGATACTAATTGATAATGTATAAAAGATGGATTTTAACTTAGTTAGCCATAGTATAATAATCACGCATAATTATCTATCTAATCGGTTGTTTTATCCGCCGTCCAAAACAATGTGTTTTGATATCTAAGTTCAGTACGACAATGCAGTAACTTAC